ATATGGATTCAGATTAGGGGGGTAATATAGGCACCAGGAGATTAATAACAGGATATATACTTCTCTATAGAGAAAGCCCTTTATCATAGAACTTAAAACTACAAAAAATAGTCACTTTATTATTCTATGAGGTAGAATATATAGCTCTACGTGACGCCATTAAAGAATAACAATATATTAGAGGATTACTATCTAAGATAGGCGCCTATAGCCTAGAAATCTCTAATATATATAGTGACTTAAACTCGGCTATAGAGTTAACGAAAAACCCTATTTATCACGCCAGGACTAAATATATTAATATCATATATCACTACGTCTAAGAATGCGCTAAAAACGGCTTATTAAACCTTATATAGATATTAACAGAAAGCTAATTAGCTAATAGACTCACTAAGGCTATACCCCCTAATAAATGGACTCAGTTTATTAAAGGAATAGGCCTTAAAGCCTTATAACTCTATAATATAGAGTTAATAGGTACTAATAAACTAAGTTTAGTTTATTAAAACCTATATATCCTTATAAGATATTTAATAACTCTAAGGAAAAGGAAAAAACGGTAAAAATATAAGTTATTTAACTAACTTATACATTAAAAAGGAGATTTACTATCTTCTCTTATAACTAGCTACTAGGCCTAGTTATAAATGAAGTTAGTAGTTACCTATACCCTCAGTGAAATAACCCTCAGTGGAATAACCCTCAGTGGAATAACCCCCAGTGAAACTAGGTGAATTAACTGACTAGGGAATTATAACTGGAAGCGCAAGTCACTTACTAAACGCTAAGCGACTTTCTGTCTAATATACTAAGCCAGATAACCCTCTTACCCTGCATTTAACAATACTAGGGCCCCTCAATTTCACTGACTACGCCAGTGAGTCAGTTTACAGCTATATTTAATTGATATTTTAAGGGGTATAATATATAACCCTTAAAAATCGACGTTCAATTCTCACTTAGGCCATTTTATTTATTTTTTCGACCTTTTCTCAGTTAATAGACCTTCCTTTTATGGCTGACACCTATCATTAACGATTTAAGTTAAGCGATATCTATATTACTTAACTTACGGGGGTGTGTTAACTATATTAACTATTCTAAGTTAAAAGTGTCGACCAGTTAACCCGCGTAAGGCTGAGCACACTGCGCAAGGCTGAGCATGGTAAGACTATTGATTATAAATTAATAGTCTATTCTGTTCTAAAGCCTTCTATATAGATTCTCCTTTACGTCTATATAAGGAGGTCTTTACTCCCCTTATGAGCTTTCACTCCTTAAGCTCTCTAAGTCCTTATTTAGCTATCACTTAGCTAGTCATTCATTAATAAAGGCCTATTACGCTATACCCTTCCCTATTACGATATGACCTGGTCCTCTTAACATATAGTAAATAAGGAGCGTAATTTTTCCTCCGGTTAAGGCTGTTCTTATTGTCACATTAACTCCTGGACAGGAATATAAATAGGCCTAAAGAATAGGGCTCTAGAGGTTACCTTAATAACGAGCGCCTTATCAGATAGAATAGGAAGAGAAATGGGTGCTAAATAGGGTAGTAAAAAGAGTGTCTTGAGGCCTAGGAATAGGCCTCTGTTTGTAAAGATCGTTTTGGCGGAGTACTCCGCATGAGAGGTCTAACACTACTTCACAAGCTACTGTGTGTTGCAGCTGGGAGAGGGTAGCCTTCTTCTGCGAAGAGTCGCCCAGCAGCTTGCAGGTATTCAGCGATTTCTTCGCCAAGCCAAAGGGGAATCAATTTGGTCCTGGCCTCCTCCATCTCATGCATAATACCCCCAGCAACCTGTCGTCTTATCAGCATTGCAATCAAACCGAGCGGAGATGGCTAGGGATGCTTACCAAGATACACCTTCCACTCCCAGGAGTTAGAGAAGTTTGTGCGATTACAGCTCCGACATCTTCGATTGTATTCGCCTTCAAGCCTGAAGTAGCCCATATTTCCGCAACCTTCCGAAACGTCGCCGTTGGAGTCACGAATGGGGCCACTGCATTTACTCTCACGTTTATTCTCTTTGCTGCAAGCTGGGACGATCGCAAGAGCCCAATAAGTCCATGTTTTGAAGTGACATACCCACCCACCCCAGTACTACCAAAATATCCTGACGTCGAGGTTATGAGAACTACAGAGCCTCGAGAACCATCTGCAGAGCGTGGTTCGTTCCGTTGCATATGAAACATGGCCAACCTTAACGCTGCAATGGATGTGCTATCAGTCTCACCATATAGTCGAAAGTGGCAAATGTGAACAGGCTGAGAAATAGAGCGACGTACTATTTATTGTACCTTTTAGGTTAACATCCAGCACTCTAAATCCGTCAGTGGATTCTTGCAGCTCTCCCATGTCGTTGACGGCTTCCAAATCGAACAGGCTGCTGCTTTCCATTATTCCGGCGTTTGCGACAACCACATCTATACGCAAAAAGCGTTCAATGGTTTGTCTGAACAACAGCTTCATGTCTTCCCAACTGAGAGTATTTGTGGGAATGAAGAGCGCTTTTTCTGGATATTTCAGGGAAGCTATGAGAGCGTCTGCTTCTGCTATCGTGGATTCGAGATCTGCAACCACGACATTTGCTCCGTGTGAAGAGAAAATCCTGACAGTTTGTGCCCCAATACCATTGGAGCCTCCCGTAATAATAGCTGTTTTGCCTTCGAGATGATTAAATGCGAAATCGTCAATACTCACAGTCTCCATGGGCGATATCATCGAACAGTATTCTCTTCTTAATTTGAAGAGATGCAATAACCAACGAATTTTCGGGTTAGCAGATCACTAGAAATACTATTTCGACGGTCCCAATTCTCAGAAATACCGATTGAATTGTCCGAGCCAAAAAGCCGATGGCATTGGGCTCCAGCCACCACAATGTACGTGTCGTACAGTGATATTGCCATCATGATCACCATTCCCGGATGGGGGATCTTTAAGTGTTACTGTGAACTCTGAGGAGAGTGATCATGCTGCTGGGCTCGGATAGTACTGTCGAGATCACGAAGAATAAAATGCTATTTAACCATGCATTGAAAGGAAGTTCTGGACCATCAAAGCTACATAAATCATACATAAGAAATTCACTCTGCCCAGACTATCTTCTTCTGGCGATCAACTCAAGCTCGGTGTAGGTATTTGCGTATTCTTGAGTAAACTATCGGGCTCCAACATGCCTGGTAAACAATTGGTTGTGAGTATCTCCGCTTATTGAATTTCTACTTCTTCCAATAAACGACCGTCCGCAAACCAGACGTCCATCGCCTTCGCCATGGATGCAGCATAGGCTCTTGGTGAGTCATCTGCCATGGCTTCTTCTAAAAGATCCTGAGACATCTTGTTTGTACTGTCTGCTCGGCCCATGACCTGCTCTTCATACTTCCGAACAGCTGCCTCCAAGTCTGTTGGATGTGCTTGGATGCAGAGAAACAGGTCTAATGCATCCAGCATAGCAAGGTTTGCCCCTTCCCCAGCAAACCAGGACATGACATGAAGCGAGTCTCCAATAAGTGTTAGTCCGGGGTGAGTCTCATAGCGCATTCCCAAAGGCATCCTCCACTGAGCACGTGGTGTCCATGCTGGGTCTAAATTGCGAATAACCTCTTTCAAACGATCATCCCAGTCGGCGTATATGTCATTCAAGAGCATGTCTTTGACTCCTTTGTGATCAGTCCAATCAATTCCACTTTCGGAAATCCACTTTTCTGGTACTTTCAGGCAAGGATAGACTCGAAGGCTCTCATCTCCATTTCGCTGCATGAAGATGCCGCTCCCGTCGCTTAAGGAGAATACAGTCCCTCTCCCGACGAATTCCCCAAGCTGAGGAAACTTTTGGTCCAGGTTAGAGATTCGACAGTCTATCACTGTCAAGCCCGTATATTCTGGTTGCGTACTGGTCAACAGCGGTCGCACTTTCGACCACGCGCCATCAGCACCCACTACCAGATCACCCACGGCAGAGCTTGCTTGATTTGCAAAGTGTATCTCGAATTTTCCAAGACTGTGGGGGGTGATTTTTGAAATATGGTGGTCCCACTTGAGATTTTCAGGATCGATAGACTCGAGCAAGATTTTCCTTAGCATTGAGCGATCAATCTCAGGGCGACCCTCTGCTCCAGGGGGAGCCTTGTGAAATAGCCAGTCTTTAGCATGTTTGTCCATGAATCGATAATCTTGATCGTGATACCTAGCATGCTTCTTGAAAGAAGCTTCTAAACCGGCAACTTCAAGCGCACGTTGGCCCGAATCAGGGTGCAAATCGAGCGAACCTCCTTGGAAACGAGAGCTGATGTTGGGTTCTCGCTCATAGAGGGTGAAAGAAAGCCCATGACGCTGGAGGAGCGCAGCAAGGGTAAGGCCCGAGGGGCCAGCTCCAACAATTATGATATGGTTTTGAGACATAGCTCCGGTAATGAGGACTTGGCTGTTGGAAAAATGATGCTGAACACTCTAAGCTGTCCTGGTAAGACAAGTATCACTTTATGTAGAAATGATGAATTTGCTGTTAGCTACCAAGAGAGAAATTCTGCTCGTGTGATCTCCTAGGTAGCACAATGTTATCTCTCCGATCATCCTATCACCGAGGGTTTGATGGCCATAGGTTCACTTCGGAGTTTCCAAATTGTGTAAATAAGCAGCAGAATTGTCGTTATATCTCGGAGTATACTTCTGTAGCCACGAAAATGCCGAGTACCTAGAGATTCAGCCTAGTGGACCGCTATTGAGCCGAGAGAAAGACATTACTATTTGTCTTAGGAATGCAATCTGTCACTGCAATAATTCAATTCCAAACAACATTCTTCGAAGTCCGAGTCTACTTAGGAGGGACTGTTTCGCGGGCAGACTGCAAAAAAATCTAGACTCAGATCCAATTAGAATTATTTGTAGCATAAGAAAATAGCAATGTCAATCAGAGCAGTATTGTCAAATCGTACACACTTAGACGCATCTGTTGGGAACTATTGATTTGCAGAAAACTAGCATTTATCCTCTAGAGAGTGGTAATCTCTCTCAAAGTCTCTCCAGCCGCACGCCTGATGTTACGAACAACTTCCTCAGTGCGACTGACACTGGGAAAATGACCGGATTTACAAAATTGTATGTCTACACCATGGCCGCTCTCTTTCTGAATTCTGGCAATGATCGACTTCTGAACCTCTACCGGAACTGCTTGGTCTTCCTCACAAACTAGATATGACACAGGAGTATCCTGATATCCTGGGTGTGTCAAAGTTCCCGTGAAACTGACTGCAGAATGTACCAACATCGTTTTGGCAAGCTCAATTCCTCTAGCAGACGGAAGATCAGAGAAATTTGTGCGAGCACAGCCATTTGGTTCAGCAACAAGATAATCTCCCTTAAAAAGATACAAAGTTAGGCGTTTTCTCGAATACATTTGGTGTACTGACCTCGACTGTGATGAAATCAGGCATATTAGCACCCATCTGTGAAGCAATAGAGCCTCCAACTTCTGGGACAGGGCTGCTGATGTATAGAAGCCGAATGATTCCACCTTCCTTCCGCAATTTTTCTCGTTCGACCTTTGAAACGCCCTTAGTGCTCTCTGTTCCACATATGCCTCCATATGAGTGCATAACTAAGATAATATCCTTGCCATCATCGACCAATTCATTTGTAATGGACCGAATACAGTTTACATCGTCAGTCATTGTTGCACCAGCAAGGGGAGCGCGACTGCCGATAGAGGGAAGGTCGATAACGATGGTCTTGAACCCAGTGTCGCCCAGTCTCTCCACGACATCACGGTAAAGGCTTGGTGGAGAAAAAGATGCTGGGACGATAACTATCACTGGCTTTTCGATTTTTCTATCCTCGAGTGTAGACATCTTGTTCAGATGGAAGCAACTTGTGGAAGTTGCTATAAGAGATGAAGACTGAATACAAACACTATCCTGATGAAAGGGGCTGAGATTGAACTTCAAGGTGATGGGGGTTGGTAGCCGACGTGTTGTAGATACAACAAGCTTCGGAGAATTGAAGGAAACGTTAAAAAGCCGAGAGGAAGAATGGAAAATCTAATCTCGTGTGATTCGGTTGACCTCGGACTTCGGACTCTTGCGAAGTCTCAAATTTGAGCAGGAAAGATGTATTCGAGGCAGAGCAAGCGTATTCAGTTCTTTCGGCTTATTGCTGACCCTTCACCACGGGGTCTTCGGCGGAAGGTTGGACCAGCCAGAGTGGCCAAAATTCCCATTAGCAAGCTGAGATACTGTCGAAGACTTCAAAAAGGGTGTCTTACCCCGAATCAATAGTCACTATATTTCACCCTCCAACATCTGTCTTTGGTTATTTCCACCATTTCCATAGTATTCGGTCGGATTTTGAGATCCTCAAGGTTGATGTACACTGAATCCTTCAAAATGGGAAGTCCTCAAGATGAGCCCTTCACAGCCTCAGTTCTGGCCTCGTTCGGCCCTTCTGCTCCAGGCCGAGCCAAGGAGATTTTGATATCTCTAATCCGCCATCTCCATGCAGTCTGTCGAGAAGTCAACCTTACAACTGAGGAGCTTTACATCGGATTAAATGCTCTTAATCGTTCAGGCCAAATGAGCGACGAGAAGCGAAACGAAACATTGCTGATATCTGATTGCCTTGGTGTGGAAGCGTAAGTGCTCAGTCAACTAATGCTTTTTAAACTTGTTGAGCTTACTGGGAAGACTTGTCGATGATATAACACACAAGATTTTGGCTGAGGAATCTTCTACCAATTCTTGCATTCTAGGACCTTTCTACCGAGCTGATGCACCTCTGTATGAAAATGGAGAGAGTATCATCCAAAAGTATTTGGGAGGTGAAATTACTTGGTACCACGGTCGAATTCTTGACGTGGATAGCGGGAAACCTGTCGCTGGTAAGACTAAGATGAGCCTAGCAATTATTTCTGGCCCTGCTATTCCATAGATTGACATCAAACAGGCGCAACGTTGAATGTATGGGAATGTGCTGCCAACGGTTTGTATGATCAGCAGGATACTAGCCAACCTGACGGAAACATGCGAGGCATCTTCACCTCAGACAGCCAAGGTTACTACAGCTTTTATTGCATCAAACCTGTTCCTTATCCAGTTCCGTATGACGGACCTGCAGGAGATATCCTGAAGCTTATGGACCGCTCTCCATTTCGGGCTGCACACATCCATTTCATGGTTGAGGACAAGGCTTATCGCCGACTTGTTACTCAAGTATTCCCTAGTGATGACAAATACCTTCACTGTGATTCTGTGTACGCGGTAAAGGAAGATCTCATCATCCATTTTGAGCCCCCAAGTCCGGATGCATTGAAGGAACGAGGCTCACACAGCTTGCAAGCTGATGTCAAATGGGAAGTTACCTACGATTTCAAAATCAAGAAGCGACAGGCTTGAGGAAGTCATACACAGATGTTGTTGACCAGGTTAAAATGATAGACGCCCAATTTTTCCCCAAGAAAGGTTGAGTTCGATTGCTCATCATATTGTCTTGCGAATTCAGTTTTCATACGTGATAAACTGGTGACGAGCGTTCCCATCACGATCCAAGTACCTACCTAGCCTCTGCAGAAACACTCAGCCTGCAGACAATATCTGCGAGCAGTTCTCAGCCACCTTGATTGCCACCCTCATGATGACAAAGTAAGGTTTTTCAGATTAAGTAATAACTCTCGGCAATTTCGGATCATCTGTGAATATTCCGAATAGTCCGAGGCTTTGTCAACCGCCTGAAGGAAAATGCCGACAAGGCCGAGAAGCTTACCGATTTTGATTGGCCGTAGAGTTTCTGTTCCCTTGCCAAGTGCTATTGAGAACAGCAGTTTTCTTCCACGTGCATGCGTCGCTCGAATTGCAAGTTAAAACTCAGAGTACACGGAGCCCCGCAAGTCAAGCAAAGCGGAGAAGGAGGCGCAAAACTGTGGAGGGTCTACAGGTTTGCCTTTGGTGGCTCGACTCGAGCAGAACTTAAGTGCAAAAACCTCAAGCATTTTCACTCTTGTGCCCATTGCCCGCCTATCCAAGCTCCATGCATGGTTAAATACTAGCCTCAGCTTTTTCCCATCTTGCCAGATGGTCTTCTGACTGTATGAAGCTCATTTTTGGTATGGATTCGGAGACAGAAGGTGCTTACTAAAATATGGAAACCCAAGAGAACGCAGCAAAAAGCCCGGAAGCTATAGAAAAGGTCAAAAAACGCCGTCGCCCACCTCTTTCCTGTGTACCGTGTCATCGTCGAAAGCTGAAGTGTGATCGAGGGTTTCCAGCTTGTGGGAGATGCAGAAAGGCTGATCATGCCCATGATTGTGTCTACAGGGAGCGCTCGGATCAGATGCCCCTCGCCAGAGAGAAGCTAGCAATCCTGGAAAGTACAGTTAACAGCCGCCCGGAGACTTTGATCGGAGTAGAAGAGACAGCTCAGCATATCATAACGAAGACGACGAGGCTAACCGAAGAGCCCTGCCAAGTGGAGGCTAGCGAGAACGATGAGACTCAGGTCCGAGAAGTAACTCTCTACAAGGGGAAGGACTCTCTTACTAGGTTCTATGGTTATAGCTACCATCGAAATTTATATCAGCAGGTATGTTCACAATACAAGGAGAAAATCAACTTCGAGTTTGCTAAATCTTCATTGCACAGTTTGACCAACTTCGAGAGTATATACAGCAACTCAAAGCTCAATTTCCAAACATAAACATATTTAGAGACGAGATTCAATCTCTGAAAGTCACTGCTCATGGCCCCAGAAGCCAGATTAGTGGTACAAGCACTGCTACTGACTTGGACTTGAGGAGCTTATTCCCTGTCCGAAAATTGGCAGATGAGCTCCTCAATATTTATATCACACGCTTCGAGGCCACAAATCGTATTCTACATCTTCCCACCCTCCTCAAGGAGTATAATAAGTACTGGAACAGCCCTCAAACAACAACTGAGACTACAGTGACCCAACTCCTGCTCGCAATGGCAGCAGCACTTAGCTTACGGGAGAATTTGACTTTTGACCTCAAAGGGAGAGGCAGAGATGCAATAACACCGGAGACTGCTATAATATGGATACGAGCATGCGAAGCTTGGATCTCCACCAGCCCTTATAGGCCTCGTCCGCATTCTTGGACGATGCTGGCTCTTAACAGCTTGTTGGCAATTGCAAAGCGAGCTAATCACATTCAAGGGAATGCATTCTGGATAGCCACAGGAGCATTAATGAGATCAGCAATGGCGGCTGGGTACCACAGAGAGCCCAGCGGCCTAGCAAACATTTCAATTTTCCACCGAGAAATGCGCCGGCGGCTTTGGGCCACTATAGTCGAACTGGACTTGCAAGCATCACTGGAGCGCGGAATGCCACCCAGCATAAGAGAAGAGGATTTTAACTCGCGGCCCCCTTTGAATATCAATGATGAAGCTATCCATGAAAACACCAAGGAATCGCCGACGCCAATGCCCCTTGACTTCTTAACTGATACATCATTTCAAGCCAGCATGTATCGCTCATTAGGGCTTAGACTCCGAGTATGCGCTCTCATCAACAACAAACAAGCCAGAACAGCGGAGTCTCTGTTTCGAGAAGCATTGGAAATAGATGAAGAGATCACGAGAGCATTGATGGCGATTCCAACTACTTGGGTCAGTACAGCAACAGATGAGTGGCGTACGCAACGGCCCTTGTACCTGAAAACAATGCTCAATTTGTTACTTCGTCAGCAACTCATTCTCCTCCACATGCCCTTTGTTAACTTGAGTGAGATGAATCCTAGATTCGCACACTCAAGAAGGGCAAGACTGGAAGCAGCGACAAGCATTCTTAGTCAGTTTAAAATGCTAGTAAAGCAAGAAATTCTGCCCCCTTCTGGGTGCAATACATGTCAGTTCCAAGCCGCACTGGCTATTTGTCATGAACTGTACCTAAAAAATAACAGTATCGGTAAGTTTTGCTTTAGGTTAAACCTTGGGATATAACCAGAAAAACTCACAGTGACAAGGGCTCGCTGTGTCATTGCACGATAGCTCTTGCCTTGCAGAGTATTTCATCTCCATGGCTGAGAGTGTGCTGCCAATGATAGAGAGTAGGATATCGAATCTGGCCAAGGGCCTCAACGAATACTATATTCTTACAATGGTTCTTGGGCTTGTGAAGTCAAGGTTAGGGACGGAGAGGACCCCAGCCTTTGGTGCAGAGGCAATGGAGAGGATTACAAGGATCATGATAATACTTGCGTCGATACGGAAATCGATAGGGACTGCAACTGGTCGTAACATCGCTGAGCCTTCTCTTATGACCAAGTAGGTTCCTTGAAAAGAGCTGAATTTACAGATTAGCACGCTGACAGGTCAGCAGTACAAAATTGATGGCATCGAGGGATGCTATTACTGAATTTCCTGAACCGTCTGTTGAGCAAGATATGGAAGCAATCGATTTTAGCGTAAGTGTCTTCATAATCTAAACGACTTTTGATCAGCTTTGGATTTTATCCTGACCAAGGAACCAGATTTTCGAAGATTTCGATCTCTTTGAAGGTGGCATGGATCTAGACGCGCTTGATATGTGGGCCGCTGATGTCAACCTCTTCACAAATGGTGAACCTGAATGTGCTACAATATCAGAAAATAACTGACCAAACTATTTTGTAATGATTGATTGATTGATTAATTACGTCATAGTCTGTCCCAGCCGCTCCTTACAGTAAGCAGCTATGCAGCAGTGCGACTATAAGTATCAGTGGTTCCCCCTATCAAGTTTCTGTACGATTAAGCTGTTCCTGCCAGAACTGCTTCTCCTACTACCTCCACTCTCGTGGGTCACCAACTGTATCACAGTCTTCTAACTAACCTGTATCTATGTACTTATCTAACCTATCTTGGTCTTTCTTGACTTCTATCTGCTGATAAACACTTATCTACACTATATATATAAGAATACTATGGATGAAACTACTCGGAATTATTACAGCAGTCCCATCCTAATTATTATCTTAGCTGCGCGGACAGTAATTATTAGGCTATAGAGAACCTACTTAATGTTTATGCATGGAGTTATACCTACCCACATTCTTTGTCGTTCTTCGCACCAGTTTCGGCATTCTAGTAAGATATGTTAGACCGTTTAACGTGCGTAGCCGCATTCGCATTAGTCAGTGTTAGCCTGGTTAATGGCGTGAAGATAGACACACAGGCCGATCTTACTGTTGCGTATCTATGTGATGACCAAGTTAATCGCTCGTGGTGTGCCTACATGTGTGGTCAGGACTCCATTCCCGGGCCGGACTCCAAGCCTGAAGAGCTCTCGTCCGTGTTTGGTCGTTTCCCAAGATTTTTCCCATTCAATTCGCATGCTCTGTGGGATGGTGAATTTCACGGTTGCTGTTAGAGTGCGGGATAATTCTGATTCTAACTCCGTGCGAAGCGTTGCGCTCAATAAACCTGCTGCCTCCTTGGCCGCTCGGTTAGCGGCTTCGTTACAGTTATTTCTGAATAGTACGTGATAAGGTAGTGTGGCTAGTAGGTATACACGTTATGATGGAGTCTATAGCTTAGCTGCCTAGATAGGCAGACTAAGCCTATAAGTATATAAGTACCTAGAAGCTTATAAATTAATAAGATACACTTGAAGAATCACATTAATAAGTTCTTAAGGTATTCTAGTTTCGATAGGTGTTAACGGGGCTGTGTATTCTTAAAGCTTAAGGGTTATAGACTAGTCACTCAGGAAAGAGTTAATCCATCGTATAAGTATAGAATTAATACCTCGTTTCCTAAGGTTATGTAACAGTCTTAGTTAAGACATATTATTAAAGGCTCCTAACATGTCTAGTAGAAGAAGTGAAGCTACCTTATCTTTCGCCTATACCTAATATATACGCTGGAGAAGGAGGTGAAGAGCGTGGTCTATTGATGCTAGCTTTCTCCCTCCTATATGTTAACTGGGGAGGAGATAATATATATTGGCCAGGTAGTTTAGCTAGGCGGCAATAATAGCCTTTAACGCTTTGCCCAGTGTGTTAAGAAGGGCGATTAACTGGTATAACTTTAGCTATGTGTAGTTATCCTTTCCCGGTTTCCAAAGAATAACCATGATACTTTATCTAAAATGTGTTAAGTAGTATCTCTACTAGAGATAGGCACTAAAGAGTCTATAGAGGTGAGATAGAATAAGGTCTAGTGTCTAGTGAAGAATGTTATTAGGGATATTATCTGGGCTAGGCGTCTTATTTGGTGCCGCTTTTCGAATCGCCTTTTCAATCTTAGAGGGTGTGATTTCTGGGCATTTAAATGGCGTTAGGTATTTAAATCTGTTAATATCTATTAGGTTAGCACTCTGCGGTGAAGGGAAGAAGGATTGGTGTAGAGTCTCCACCTTTTCCTGGGTCTAGTGAGTAAGTTTACCTTCAGGCTTCTTAAGCGTTAGTGTGCACGTGGGCACCACATTATGTCTGTTCTTTACCTATTTAACTAGTTCCCATAGGCCTAAGTCTGAGCTAAATAATTCCTTTACTCTCTACTAATGGGTGTTCTAGAGAAGCCTCTAGAGGTGCCATCCCTTTTTATTGTGTGCTTATTAGTATACCTCATAGTGTTTATTAGACCTTATTCGTTACTATAGTTAGTGTAATTATTAAACCTTATAGTAGACGTCCTTATATTCTGGACTAAATCTCGGTATAGAGCGTGGCGAAGGGTTAGACTAGGGAGTTAAGGCGTTAATACTAGCGTATAAAGTATTAATAACTAAGCTAATATACTAATTAATGTTATCTTTATTTCCTAGTTTTACTACGTTTAGTGTTCTAAGAAGTTTCTTAGTAACTATATACTAAAGTATTAACTAGTTAGTTTTCGCCCACACACACTTCTTAATTAGCTTAGCTTAAAACTAGTCCTACGTAATGACTATAGTAACTAGAAAATAGTTAGAATTATAGTCTTAACTAGTGTTTACTTAGTAGTGTTAACTATATTAACTATTCTAAGTTAAAAGTGTTAACTAGTTAACCCGTGTAAGGCTAAGCACACTGCGTAAGGCTAAGTATAGTAAGACTATTAATTTATAATTAATAGTTCATTCTGTTCTAAAGCCTTCTATATAGACTCTTCTTTATGTCTATATAAGGAGGTCTTTACTTTTCTTCATAGGCTTTCACTCCTTAAGCTCTCTAAGTCCTTATTTAGCTATCACTTAGCTAGTTATTCATTAATAAAGGCCTATTACACTATACCTTTCCCTATTACAATATAATCTAGTCCTCTTAACATTATCTTTATTATTATTATTACTATAGCTCTCATTATAGTTAGAGATATAAAAGGATAATTTAAATATTAATATACCTAGTGTGAACTAAACTAAACCTATAAAGAATAGTAAGTAAATAAAAACCTTAGAGCTAAATATTATATTTAATACTTCTAATTAAGAAGTAGTTAAAGTATTATATTTCGCTCTATATAAAGTATTATAAAATATATAGTCTTAATAAGTAAAAGTATAAAAGGTAAGGTTACTAAGAGTATAGTACTTAAGTAAGTATAAAAGCGAAGTAATTATAATTAAAATATATAGATATAATTATGAATAAAGTTAACTACGTAATAAAGCTATATAATAACTATTATTTATATAGTTAAGTTTTACTTAGTAATACTTAATATTACTTAATGTTACTTAAACTAAGTATACTAAGTATTACTAAGTATACCCTATTAGTTAGGGAACATAATTAGTAGTGATTAGGGTTCACTATACTAAGTCTCCTAAGTATATTATATAACTTAGACTATAAATAGTATATATATTCCCCTTTTAGCTTATCTTTCCTTCTTATCTTAACTATTATTATAGCTTTATATATAATTTATAGTTAGGTTATGTTAACTATATTAACTATTCTAAGTTAAAAGTATTAACTAGTTAACCCGCGTAAGGCTGAGTACGCTGCGCAAGGCTGAGCATGGTAAAACTATTAATTTATAATTAATAGCCTATTCTGTTCTAAAGCCTTCTATATAGACTCTCCATTACGTCTATATAAGGAGACCTTTACCCCCCTTTACAGGCTTTCACTCTAAAAAAGCTCTCTAAGTCCTTATTTAGCTATCACTTAGCTAGTCATTCATTAATAAAGGCCTATTACACTATACCCTTCCTCATTATGATATGACCTAGTTCTCTTAACACTTACCCTACCTTAAACTCGCGTAGATACCTATAGATAAAGTACTTAATTTTAAAAAAACCCTAATGAGTATATAGATAGAGTAAGACTCTCTTAATAAGTTACTTTACTTTACTTATTACGTAGTTTACTTTATTTATTAAGGTTAAGTATTAAGTTTTAAATTTAAGTTACTTTACTTATTATATAGCTTACTAAGTACTTTAATAATAAAAAATTAATACTTTTAAGTTCTTATTAATAGTATATATTATTTATAATTATTTATTAATTCCTTTAATTAAGGTTAATATAAAATATATATTTAATAAAGCTTAAGATATTTTAAGTCTTTATTAATAATTAATAAATATTAAAACTATATAATTATTAGTTTTACTTAAGAGTTATTATAATTTTTATAAATAAATAAGATAAATATAAAAAATAATATATAATTAGTATATTAATAAAGACTCTATACTATAGAGATTATAATATATTTCTTTAAATTAGTGCTTTACTAAATAATAATAATAAGAATAAAAGAATAAAAAGTATACTCTATTAAATATTATATATATAAATATTTATAAATATTTAGTTATTAAGACTTATTTATATTTATTTTAGAGCTCTAATAATAAAAGATTCTTTATAGTGATAAAGTTATAATTATAAAAAGGGACTATTATTATAGAATAAGAGTTCTCTTTAGGTAAATTAATAGTGAAATTCACACACTAACTTAGTGCCTACACGAGATTTATTACAGTGTTAAAGCCTAATAAGTATAAGCTTATAGTGATTAGTTACTCTTAAGTGATGAATTACGTGGTAGCTTCCCCCTAGGCGCGAATAATTACAGAGTTAAAGTACTCAGTATAAAGGTATAAGTAATTACTATATAAGATACAAATTATCACGCTTACAATTTATGCCTAATCTATATACCTTATTTATAATCTATATAATATAAGTTCATGCGAATCTATACATTATCATGATCTGGTTAAGGTAAAGGGAATAGCTCTCTTTATGCTTAAGTAGGGTAGAGGGAGTGCCTAAAAGGTTCCCCAGAACACACCGCCCTAGGTAGTTAATAAGGAAGTAATAAGGACCTTACCCCCTCTGCCACACAAGAGAAAGTGAACAATCTGTCGCGGAAACGCAATCCAGAAAGCATTCTTATAATAATAATTACTTAAGGGGACAGAAGCTAGCCATTCTAAAAATATGAAATAATAAGAGATAAGAACTTAAAGGCTAAGATATGAGACCCTTTACATGTATATATAGACTTAGGACAATACTTAGGGACTACTTAGGGTAACCTTAAGATCGCTAAGCTAAGCTTAGGAGCGCATAGCTATAGCTTAGGTTAAATGGCAAGATACTTAGGTCTAGAAATAAGAATAGATTTTGGAGAGATTAACATTTATCACTAAGTATTATGATATAACGTGAATAATAAGCGAGTGAGACAGATAAGCGAGTGAGACATCTCTTCAGATTTTCTGAACCTTTAACTTTTAACGTAATTTTCTCTACCATAACATATAGTATCTACTAATACTAAACGTTAAATAGTTCTTACTCTTTAGGCTATTAAATAAACCCTAAATCTTAGTGCCTAAAAAGCTACTAAAATCTATAGCTATAGCCACATAACTCTATCCCACTAACTTAAGGGCACCTAGTCTCATAATAATAGTATGTCTAACTCATAAAACCTAATCTCTCTTAAAGAGAATATAATTATTCAGTATACTCTTAACCTTAATACATAATCGCACTCTCTCTAACTTATTAGCGTGAAAGATATAGCTAACTAACTACTCGCAGAGCGCGATACATCTCTTATTAAGAAGTAGTGAGCTTCTAACTTTATTAAGTAATAACTAGAGCTTTAGACGCGTTTCTTTTATTGATATAACTATATAAGGGCCTAATATGAAGATTCTAACACGATTTAGACATGGTTTACACTAGTAAAGAATATAGTCATAAAATATAGTGTGATAAATATAGATATTTATAATTTTAATAAGACTAAGTTTATAATGAGTATAATCTTAATAGGGATTATCATAATAAGCACTAAAAGATACTTAGACATTAAGCTAGTTTAGCTTAGTAATTAGGAATAGGTAATAGTGATTTAAGGTATTAATGTATTAAGCTAGATAGTTTCGCCATTTATTATTATTTCGAGTAAATATTATCTCTTTATTTAGTATTAAAATAGTACTCTTTTATATAACTAGGTTATTATTATGTCTTTTAATAGCTAGATTACAAATAAAAGAGATCTAAAATAGATTTAACACTTTAATTAGTATATAAAACCATAAATAATAGGTAAATATCGCTTCCTAGTTCTTAATAAGTATAAAAGTTATTACTTAACTAATTTTAAGCTTTACTATAAGGAGCACAATATTATTACTCTCTATATACTATCTTATTTATCTTATATTCTTTAGCCTCTTAATATTAAGTGTTTTAGCCCGTTAAAATAGGCGTATAATGACTAAATTAAGAAGAGAGTTTAAGCTAATATCACTCACATTTTAAAGAAGAACTTCTTTCCTACGTTTTTAGTCACTTTTTAATAGATAATAACGATTTAAAATGTTTAGATAAGATTCTAAGGGGCTAGGCTTATTTCCTATAATTTAGAAAGTATAATTACTTATTTAGATATAAAGCTATAAACACTAACCCCCAAAAAACAGAGTAGCGCGCTACCCTAGACCTAAGTATCTAAGATACCTAATAACCTAACTAAAGCTAGCTCGCAGTCTATATTTATTAAGAATTAAGTCTCTTAACATTAAGGAAGCTCTCTAACTCTAATTCTTAAGGTCATTAATTAGTTCATAAAGGGTGCGATAGAAATTATGCACTAGATCGCGCTATTAAAGTCTAAGGTTAAGACACTTTGTGATGAGAATACACTACTTAGCTACTATTACTAGGCGAAAAAGAAATAACTATACACTAAAGAAAGTATAACGCTTAAGGAGGGTTAGTGTCTAGAGTCTTATAGTTATATTTAGGTCATAGTAAAGTAAGAAATATAGCCTAGTGATAATCCGAGTTAGCGGCGCGAAATGAGCACGCGGTGGTGTGGTATCTATGGCAACACTAGACACAACTCTAGAACCTATTAAGTAGTTATAATCTCATCTGAGGAAGAGGAATCTAAGTAGTTATAACTAATTCAATGCGTAGTGGTTGAGTATAGCTATGAAATGTGATGGTGATCAGGTGAAGGTGTCTCACTCACTTGTCTGTCTCACTCGCTTATTATTCACGTTAGACTTATAGTTATTAGGATCTTAAATTATAAGGATTATATTAATGAAAATAACTAAGTTAAGAACTAGAAACTAAGTATAGAAGTTAGGGTTATATAAGTGAGTGCGTAAGTGTAGGTAGTGCTCCAGTCTTGGCGCTAAACCTAATTAGGAAGGCGCTAAGATGAGTGCGTGACAATAGTCGAGGCCTAAATGAGCTCCCCAAGCCTAAACTGGCTTCTAAGGACGAGGCATTAGGCAGCGAACCCTCCAGCTCGTCCAGTGCTCAGGCGCTCGCCCCTGCGCTCTGCCGTGGCTCCCGTGGTGCTCTCCCGTGCTCGGTCAGGCGTCCTTCGATGCTCCGTCACGTGCCCGAGTAAAGCGGCCTTGCTCCCTTTCCTGAATGAACATGGTAAAGGATGAAGCACAGCTCGGAGCATATATAATATATATATATATATATATATATACACGAACCCTGCTCTGGTCACCTCGACGGTGAGTGGTAAGCGACCGATCCCTTTCTTGGAACTGGGAGTGATAGTGACGACTGTACCGGAGCTCACCGTTGACACGAACACACAAAACTCATCTCGAACAATCGATCCTGTCAATAGTGGCAATCATTGTTATCAACGTTGCCCTTGGGTTCAACTTGTCCAGAAAAAGAACGATCTCTGCTGGTATTTCCTTCCAAGCTCGTGTCGTCTCCATCACATAATCACGTTCTGCTCGAAACTCAGACTAGGGATTTCCGCCCGTGCTTCGGCCCAGTGTCACTTTTCCCCCCACAAGTCTCGAGGCCGAAATCTGGTGAAACTTATTCCAGCCCTGTGGTACTCCGTACAGAATGGGCGAAGGATCCCTACGGTAGGGTGCTGGCCGAACTCAAGGGCATAGTCACGGCGAGACTTTCGTCGACGTTTGAGATGACATCTAGATTGTGTGGGGATCGATGCTTTGCCATATCGAAGCACAAGCGGTAAGTATGTCGAGTCGACAACCGGAAGAATGAGCATGCAACTGTAGGGCGCTCATGTAGGTCTCATGTAGATACGAAGGCAACACTCTCAGTAGTGACACCATATCTTGCAATTTTGCTATCGCGGCGAGCAATAATAAAAAAAAGTACGCACGCGAGAGCGCGAGAACTACACTCCGAAATTGGTATGAAACTCCTCAATCTGGCGCCTCAGGTCGAGTTTGACCGCATCAGAAGCCCACGAGCTGTCGGCAGCGTTTAGATGGAGCTGCACAACCTCGTCGTCGGTGAAGTGACAGATTCGACGGACCAAATGAATGCTCTGCTCAAGCCAAATGTCGTCCGTAAATACCTTACAGACCATCAATTTCCTCAAGGTAGCCACATGCAATATCAGCATAACTTTTCCCCTGTCATTGTTCTATCCTCTGGCCATGGACCTCGTTTGCTGTGTTCAATCCAAAGTCGAGCTGCGAGGGTCGATCGCACCTTAAATCCTGGACCATAAGAACCCTACAAACGCAGACACCAAGACCATTCTTTATCGACATTCATAAACCCATCTGGAGAATTAGGAAAAGGTAACAGTTTAGACTATTGTTGATGCTGGCACTACCTAAGCAATCCGTGCTCAATGTAGATAAATGTTTCCCAAGTCACAATTCCTGTTCCATAGAACAAAACCAACAACTCATTGCAGGCCCAAACACAACACCCTTTCATCTATAAACGGGCGGTGCATTGGAGTAACTCTGTAGCGGAATGCCACCTTCCCCGTACAACGGTGGCGGGGGTGGTCCTTGGGGCGGCTCGTATTGTCCTTCGCGAAAATTCATTGCCGCGGGAGTGTTCATGGGTGCCTTGCGCATCTCCTGTCGCCTCCTGATCATGGTCCATCCCCCCACAACGAGAAGCAGAAAGAAGGTCGCAACGCCGTAAATAATCATGCCGCGGTGGTTGCCAGCAAAATTGAAGCCGACAAAGGTGTTGACGATACCCAGAAGAATGCTGCCAGGGCCAAGGACACGGTGACCCTTCATGATCTTAGCTGGTGTGCCGGTCTTATTGTAGATGCGATGACCGAGAAAGCCCACGACCCAGGTCGTGATGACAAGAGCGAGGATGACGAGGCCCAGGATTTGGTGGCCAGAGTTCAGACTCGGAGACTGGCACCCGGGTTAGTGATCTGAAACCATCCATGACAACGTTCCCAAGAGACTTACTATATCCTGCCTGATGCTGATACCGATCCCAGCTGCTGTGCCCACACAAACCATAAGCAAAGCGAAGGTTTGTACCGCCCAGTGTATTACGACCTTGTTGAGAATGCGTAATAGCAGGTAGCCAGCAGGGAAGACGATCAAAAATGCCGAAACCATCAGAAAAGCGTGAAAAGCAACACCTGGATTGGCGTGGCCTCTGCCAAAAGGACCGTCATCAAAGTCGTCACTGTCGGCGGTAGTGTTGGATACATTGGGAACACCGCCAATTCCAGTGGCATCCTTGAGGTTGAGGTCGAAGAAATTATGCCCCTCGTGCTGAGTAATGGACGCCGAGACATCATCCGATTTCAAGCTTCCATCTGGTCCCAATGCCCATATCATGTCTTGGTCGGTGCTGTCGACATCCACCTTGCCACCATCCCAGCTACGGCAGCCAGTACATTTCGCATTGACAACAAAGACATTGTTGATGACACCACTGCCCTCCAGTACGTCGACCTTGACGTCGTCGGTGTGTTGTGGCATTGTGTGACCCTTCCCTAATCGAGGGCTGACTGTGACATTGTTTCCATCCTCCGAAGCGTATGTAACAAATATCAGTGCATCCTTCATCTTGTCTCCAAATCCAAAGGCTGCCCATTTCCGGGACGAAGGGGCGGAGAAGTGGTAGAACAGGGTGTCGGTGCTGTTGTCAGGGACATTGATTGAAACGGTGACATTATCTTGCGACTTGGGAGATGTGCCCATGCCAACGTATGTGGAAGCGGGAACATCAGCTTTCGTAGCGGCCATGAATGCTGAGAAGACGAATGTCAGTTGAAAACCTGGAACGGATTGCAATTCGTTGTTGGACTCACTGGACAAGAGAAGGGTTGCAGCCAAACCCCGTACGCGGCCTTGGTTTGAGAAAGACATGGTCGGGGCTATAGGACACCACAAATTCTGCTAAAGGGAGAGAATAGCAGTTTTGCAATAATCTTGCACTGGAAGCAGATATCAAAAAGCGAGAATTCAACTGAAATTGACTGCGAAATATCCGTACAAATTGTTGAACCCTCACAGGCCAAGGCAGGAGCGTGAGGACGGGGATCAAGCAGCAGCGACGTTCCTCGGCGGCGGCAATATTGTCTGCTTTTGGGAGAGAGGATGTTTCAGACTTTGTGTAACCTGAGGATGTGAGAGCGTCTCGATCGCTCTTCCTGGACAGCGCAGCCTCAGTGATCGTGCAACGCCAGCTTCAGGACGCGAGGTCACCCATATTTACCTGGTGGAGTCCCTCGCCCCAGAATCAGGGGATGTTCTTTTTTTGTGCGCTGCGTGGTTGGTGGGTGCTAATTGACAGGCATCAGATTGCACGCCCATCAATCCCAATAAGAGATGCTGATTTCCCACTAACGGTCTCCGAAAAGCTCGGGGTGTTTTAGGTGGCTCACCAGGGTTTCTAGGCTTGACGGCCCCTGTCGGCCCCCTACGAAGCACAGCCGCTCAACCAACCACAAGCCTCGGGATTGTCAATGGGCTCCGAATAGGGCTTTGTCGGCGCCACCAGCGCTTACACACCACTCGCATCCGGATGCACCAAATTCTACGGAGATCTTCTGGCCCTGGAAATAGATCTTAGCGCAGTCATCGCTTATCGCTTCCATTTTGAAGGAGCGGGAAGGAAGGCTGCTGTGCTTCAGCGACCCGATACACGTTGCATCTCTGGATGGATTGATCGTTGCTTCTGCTTCTGCTTCTGCTTGCGATTGTTCTTCGGGAAAGGTCGTAATGAGTGGTTTTTAAAACCATTCTTCCTGTACATTCATAAAGAAGCGTTCGAACGGCTCCTGGCGAACCGCAAAATCGCCCAAAGATGGAGACCATCCGAAGTTCAGAATTTCGTTATTGGACAAGGGGAATTGTCCCGGAGTCATGGTCGTATCGCTGGACCCATCCTGCGACGATGTCCCGGCAGTTTTCGCATACATGGGCGCTGAAAATCGGGGCGAGCCTGCAGTCATTGACTGCACTGGTACATCTGTCGAGGGCGGGTGATCAAGCGTCATGCCAAATACGTCCGCCGTGTTGCTAACCATGTTGTCGGGATAGTCCTGTGCAAATCTTTGCAGTGTTGTTGAACTGTCTATGTCGGTGAACAATGTATCAGTCTGTGTCGTTTGAGCTGCCCATTGGGCCTTTCTTCGCTCTTGGGCCCTCGCCATCAGATGCCGCAATGGCTTCCACAACATCCCCCTCTGGAACTTGGAGTTCTTGGTGACTCTATCGTCATATACTGCTTCAACCGCCCTCCACGCTCTGTCGACGTCAGGTCCAGGTGGTCTGATACATATTTCTGACAGAGCAAATGCCACTGACTGCCATTGCATGTAAGTACGGAAGAACCAACCCCATTTGGCCGTCTTTTCGTTCTTCTCCAACAAATGCGTGAATTCGAGTACCTCTACCGAAGTAATGAAGACACGATCGCGCACTTCTTGGGGTAACACCGCGTCGCCAGTCGCCGAGCCAAATGATCGGGGGTGGTTAATGGACAACCAAATCTTGGCCAGAATGAGTCGAGCGACGGTGGCCGCCACCCAAAATATGGGCACATTGGGATCGCAGTGTCGAAGATATTTCTCCTCCAGATGCCGATGGCATTCGTCGATCAACTTCTCTTTCTGCTCCAAGGGCAGGTCTTGCGTCTGACCAGGCGTTGAACCGGGAGCGGTGAAATTGAGTCGACGTGGCAAGATACTCAGCTCGGAGCGGATCAAGCAGAAAGTCATTTCAGTAGCAGTCTGTCTCTCAGGCGGGTACTCTCTCATGCCAGGGTAGATATCATCGTCGTTGTAGTTCATGGGCAGTTTGGTATCGAAAAATTGTTCGGTAAAGGTAGGGTCTGTACCATGATCTTCTGCTGCTCTGTTGTCCATGAGAGACAGGTGCCACCATAACCGTCGTCTCATCTCTGTATCGAACGGACTGAGGCCGAAATTGGTTCCATCTCGGTGAATGCCCAGTGATTGCGCCAAATGAATGGCGAGTCCCCCCAAGGCCCATACTAACCGAGAATCATCTACGTGCCTCACAAAGACCAAGAAGAAAGCGAATGCCTGCAGACACATCAGACTCGAGCTGTTGAGGAAGTCCGCGCGAGCCAAGGCTTGTTCTGTCGCAAAGCGGTACCTCTTGAGCAGCATCTCCTTGTCCTCGTCCAACAATTGTCGGCACTGCTCGTGGGTCATGCTCACCACGGCGCCGTAGTAGATGGAAAACAACAAAGCTTCGGCAGGTCTCGACACTCGATCAAGGCTGCTCGCCGCATTCATCAAAATGGTTTTCGTGGTCGGGCGATGAAGTATGCGCACCACCGGGTCGACATTCTCCTTGAAGACTTCCCACAGGATGAATATCTGACTGGGGCTGGGGTGTAACTCCCGTAAATCGAGCATGATCGAGGAATAGCCAAAGAGGAAGCCTTGGTGGCTGCCCATCTGGCGATCCTGCACCGGCGAGTTACTTTCGTCCTCGTCGTCGGTCGTGGACGGATCCAGCAGATCCTGCATCTCGGCAATCTAGACCTGGTGTTAGTATGCTCGGGCGCAAAGTTCCATCATGGGCATCCACGAACCTCGTCACTCATGCTCGTCCAGAAGGAATTGCTGACGTATCTGCTGCGATCTTCGTTGATGACCAACCGACCCAGACTCTTGTCTATCGACTGTCTCTTGGAATCTGAGCGATCCGAGCTTGGCGAGTCTCCGGCGTGGGCGTCGCCGGCAGCGAACGAGCGGGCGCGAATGTCTGCCGACCCTGCCACGGTGGTGGTCGGCGAGACGACGCCATGGTCGTCCACCTGAGCACCCAGGCTGTGGACCACCCCTTCGAGTCTCTTCAAGCGCGCCAGGAGCTCGGCGTCCGGCGGCTTCCTGGATTTGCGGGGGGCCCTGCCCGGCGCAGGGAAGATACATTCGATGCCAGCTCTTACGCAGTTTGCGCACGGTTCTTGCTTATTACACCGGACCTTTCGTCGCCGACAAGTGACGCAGCTCCGTGGGTTCAGGCGAGGTGCGGAGGTGGCAGTGGACTGGGTAGCAGAGCGTTTCGAGTCATCGACGACGTTCATGTCATCTGGGGCGGCGGTCGACCGCAATCCGGGAGTGTCGTCGTCGTGCGCCGGAGATTCCATGATGTAAAGAGGCCGCAAAAAGGTTTAGTTAGTGGTAGGGAAGGATCATCGTGGCGGGCGGCGCTGTGTCGACAATGTGATGACTCGAGACAACAACAACAACGACGACGACGACGTCGAGGGGCAGATGCGTAGAAAGAGCATATGAAAGAGAAACAAGTAGTGGGAAGTCTAAAATGAGTGGGCGGTCGAGGAATACAACCGATCTTGTTTCCCTTCGTATCGTGATGAAATGGCGATACGAGAATGACTTTTGCGATTTTTTGGTGGGGTCGATATGCTTCTAGGTACTCCGTACCTACAAAGGCTTGATAATGTAGCATGCGGCGAAACTTGAAAGTCGCAGTGCTTATGTACGTTTAGGTATTCAACTATTTTGACTAATCGTACCTAGGCATCTAGGCACACGGAATACAACTCTCCGTACTTTGGTTCTGCTGTCTCCCGTCCGCACAACAAGGACCTAAGGATCTGGTCAAGCCGCCCTATAGCCTATAGCATCTATATTCTCACATATGAGGTGAGTACATCATCTACCTCGAAAGATATGACATCGACCCTTGGTTCCTCGGTAGATGTGCATCGGTCATTGCTTCTGATGATCAAGCTCAGGTACCTTGGTTTCCTCTCCGATGACTCGATTTCCAACTGTTGAGCAGGTGACCATCCCTGACCTTGTTTTTCCATGGATACTCCGTAATGAAGTCGGCGCAGTTCATTAACAACCACCCATACATGAACATGAGCGATATTTTCTTTTCAATGACAAACCACCATCCCCGCCACCGGTCCAATGAAGTCTTAAAAGAAGAAGGGGAGGAGACCTCTTCGATCGTTTCATTGTATTCCTGTCGTCTTGTCGTCATGTGGACACGAAATTCAGGTCGGCTCCGGCGCCTATAGCTCCGAGTTCCCCGAGAATATATGGCTCACCAAGCCGAAAGTACAGTACCTGAGGCTCCGACCCCAGACGGTCGTAAGGGAAAGGGGCTCACTAGCAATACACCGTAGCACTGAAGTCTTTGCCTTTTCAGTTGACAGGGGAAGTTCCGTATGAGCGATTTATCGACTCAACCTACTGCTACGAGTACGACCCGATCCCTGCGATCCTTTCCGATGCTCCAAAACCTCCTTCTGCGGCTCAACATGACCTGCTCCTTACGGCCAACCCAAAGTCAAACAGGCCAATACTGCCCTCTTTCAGAACGTCGTCAATCACGGCTCCATAGAGTCCTTGCATCTCCAAAGAAATAACACCATCCCCATCACATCAGAAAATCAAAACAAAACAGTCCAAAAATAATGCCAATGTCCATTCCCCATTGCTCCTGAAGTGCATCACAAATTGAAAACTCCAAAGCCGCAAACTGAAGACGCGCCTTTGATGCATACCTGTAGCCGAAAGCCGAGGTGAAATCCCCAAGCACGGGGTCGTTCATTACTCATGAACTGTGAGATCTCAACAGCATCTAGACACCCGGTTAGCTCCATCATGTATCAGCTAGACCATGACATTGAACGTACACTGTTGGCAACCGCTATCGGATCGGGGTCGCCGTCTGTTGCTGCCGACGGGCTCCCAGCACTTCCATGATTGACAGGCCCAGACGTCGTGACCGACCTCTCAGTAAAGGCAGGTCTTGGAGACAGGGTTGACGCCGCTTCCGTCTTCCCCGTGGAGGCTGCGGAATGCCGAGATGCTTGATTCGCTTCATTTCTTGCGGTTGACTTGGTCCGAGCATGTTTGTTGAACATGTCTGTCACCCGGTCCGAGGCCACGCGCAAGATGGTCTGCATCAGCAAGTTTTGTTTCAACGGCTTCGAGAGATACTCATCCATCTGAGCTTGGATGCATTTTTCGCGGTCTCCTAACATAGCATGTGCGGTCAAGGCCACAATAGGCGTTCGAGGCAGGTGCATCTCCTTTTCGAATTGGCGGATCTCGCGTGTGGCCTCGAATCCTCCCATGACAGGCATTTGGACGTCCATGAGTACGACATCGAAGCGATTCTCCTTGACAGCATTGACCGCTTCAAGGCCGTTGCTCACCACTGTCACCACGTGGTTGTATTTTTCGAGGATCTTGATGGCTACCTTCTGGTTGACTTCATTGTCTTCCGCCAACAACACATTGAAGGATTTTTTGTAGTCTTTGATGATAGGGGTGGATCTGCCTTCCAGCGCCGGAATCATGCAGTTTCCAAGGTCAATTAATTGGCATGGTGTCGTCATGTAGGAAGCAATGCCCAGATCCAGTACGGTCTTCAGGTTGATGGACACTGTAGAATTCAGAAGCACCATGGGTATGTACTTGAACTTGTCGAACTCTCGTAGTTTGTAAGCCGTCTCCACCCGGTCAATGACAATCACATCGTACCCATCGACAGATCTGACCTTCTTCTCATACAATGGATCTGGTATGTTGAGCTCGTCGTGCACAACAGAGACGTGCAGACCAAGCTCTTCAATCAAGGCTGGAACCTTCTTGAAAAACGCCGAAGTGCCCTTGTCAACCACGAGAACTTTATGCTTGCGGAAGGGGTACAGCTGCGAGCTGATGACGCTGATGTCTTCGGTTGCGAACTTGACGATGCAAGAGAAATGGAACTCGCTTCCATGGCCAAAATCCGAGGTCACCCAGACTTGACCACCCATTAGGTTCACGAGGCGCTTGGAAATGGATAATCCAAGCCCAGTGCCTCCAAACTTTCTCGTCGTCGAGCCATCTGCCTGCTGGAATGTGTCGAAGATAAGGTCCAGCTTATCAGATTGGATGCCGATGCCAGTGTCAGAGACAACAAATTCGAACGGAAATTCGTCAGGGCCACAGTTCGACATGAGGTCCTTGGACTTCTTGATGGTGACCTTGACCTCTCCCTGATCGGTGAACTTGATGGCATTACCAACCAGGTTGAGAATGATTTGTCTCAATCGGAACGGATCACCAACAACGTAATCGGGTACCGAGTTGTCAACATCAAACGCCAGGCAAAGGGTTTTCTCGTTCGCTTTGACTGCTAGCGATTTCAAGGCGTTGAAGACGGTGCCTCTGATGGTGTATGGGATAGCCTCGATCGCCATCCGGTTCGCTTCGATCTTGGAAATATCAAGAATGTCATCAATGATGGTCAGCAAGCTGTTGGCGAGGTTGTGTACAGTGTTGAGCATTTCGCGCGAATGTGGCTTCAAGTCGTCGGTATCGAGCGTGAGCTGCGTCATGCCAATGATACCGTTCATAGGAGTCCGAATCTCGTGAGACATGTTTGCCAAAAACTCGGATTTCGTTCTGTTGGCTAATTCGGCTGCTTCTCGAGCAGCCGTGTTCCTTTGAATACTGTCTCTCAGGTTGGAGATCATCTGATTGATCTTTCGCTTCAATTCGTCCATTTCACCGGAGGCCTCAACGCTGATCAACTTGGAGAAATCGCCTTCGGTGGCAGCATCCGTGATCTCTCCAAAAGCCCGCACTTGAGCAGTCAGATTCTCAGCCATGGTATTGACGTCCTCAGTGATTTCTTTCCATCGCCCATTAACGTCGTGAACATTGGCTTGTCCGCCCATTTTGCCGTTGACACCTACGTCTCGAGCAACTCTCCTCAGTTCATGTGCAAAAGTGGCCAACCGGTCAACCATGTTGTTGATGGTGACTTTCAACGTGAGAATCTCTCCCTGAGCCTCCACTTCGATTTTGCGGTCCAGATTGCCGGCGGCAATAGCTTGGGTGACTTCGGATATACTCCGTACCTGACTGGTCAAATTTGAAGCCATGGTATTGACGTTGTCCGTCAAATCTCGCCATTTCCCTTGTACATTGTCGACCTTTGCCTGACCACCTAGTGTCCCATCGGTACCGACTTCTCTCGCGACTTTGCTGACTTCAAAAGCAAAGGTGTTTAGCCTGTCAACCATTGAGTTGATTGTGACCTTGAGATCCAGAATTTCTCCCTGAACATCAGCGGTGACTTTCTTCGATAGATCTCCGTTGGCAACGGATGTCGTGACCGTGGCGATCTCTCGCACTTGTGTCGTCAAATTCATTGCCATGCCGTTCACATTTTCTGTGAGGTCCCTCCACGTTCCTTCTACATCATGGACGGTAGCTTGTCCGCCCAGGATACCGTTCGTGCCGACTTCTCTTGCGAGATTAGTTACTTCCTGAGCAAATTGTTGGAGCTGATCAACCATGTTGTTGATTGTGATCTTTAATCGGAGGATTTCGCCTTTGCAATTTGCTGTCACTTTCCGAGTAAGGTCACCCTTTGCGACTGCAGTTGTGACCGTGGCGATATCTCGCACTTGGGTGGTCAAATTGTCTGCCATGGCGTTTACACTTTTCGTAAGTTCGTTCCACGTGCCTTGCACGCCTTCAATCTGAGCTTGGCCACCTAAGACACCCTCTGTGCCTACATCTCTGGCTACTCTCGTAACCTCGGTAGCGAACGTCCTCAATTGGTCCACCATTGTATTAATCGTATGCTGTAGCTCAAAGATCTCACCCTTCGCACGGCTCTGTACCTTTTGGCTCAAATCACCTCGTGCTATAGCTTTCGTGACTGTGGTGATTTCTCTGACTTGGTCTGTTAGATTAGCGGCCATGATATTCACTACACAACCAATTAGTATCGCCTCGTAAGAGGGTAAGACAGAACATAAATACCGTTGTCAGTTAACTCCTTCCAGATACCATGCACTCCGCTGATCTGGGCTTGACCGCCCAAGATTCCTTCGGTGCCGACCTCGCGCGCGACGCGAGTCACCTCGCTTCCGAAAATTTCTAGTTGATCCATCATGGTATTTATGGTGACTTTGAATGCAGCAATTTCGTCGTCCATTTCGGTTGCCTGAATCTGCACACGCTTGGATAAATCGCCATTGGCAACCTGGGTTATAATACCACCGATCTCACGCAGCGCCTTTTGAAATGCTTCATTCGCTTGTTGGTGTTTACGCAGTTCTCGTTCTAGTAACGAAACATCTTCGTTCTCGACTCGCATAAATGCTTGCTTTGCCTGCTCTTCTGAATTGCGGAGGCCTCGGCTGATCTCTGCAATCGTCTCTCGCTGACTCTTGATTTGTTCGGCCTGTTTCTCTACATGTTCCTTCAGTATGCTTATATCATCCTCGCTGACCGTACCCGGAGGGACAAAGGGTTCCCTGGCTGGAAGTTGCGTGGAGCGTTTGGCTTGGTATGGAATGAAGGCGGCTCGTTCGGAGGCAGCTGCCGTCGAGTCAGTATACGACTCGCCGAGAGGGCCTCGAGGTTCAGATGGCCGCGATCCAGGTGAGGCGGGACTTTGGAATTCACCTGGTGTATCTGGCAGAGACCGCCCAACGACATCAGCTCGCGACTCGAGGTAGTGTATCCTTCGTGCCAGGGCTGCAATTTCCGCCTCGAATTCATCTTTGGTCGGCGTATCTTCTCCAGGAAGACTGTAGGGAGGTAGCTTCAAGCCATTGGTTTGCGAAGGTTGTGCGGTAGAGCCTTTGGCCAATCCACGCAGAATGGCCGCAGCAGCGAGCAATGTCTCGTCCGGACGAGACATGGACGGGGTAGACGTCTCTAGGGGCTGTTCTTCCTCATGAGGCGTCGAAGTCGAAGGTTCGTGGCAAGCGTTATCGATGTGCCAAAGGGCTCGAGTTCTCGGCCGCGTCCAGCAGCGCAGGCAAAACGGCCGCAGAGCCACTTTGCCCGATGGGGAGTCGTAGGTTCACAGGTTCGTAGTCAAGGGCTTTCGACGGACGATGCTCGTTCTTTAGGCGGTCGAGGCACGTCCAGGCATCGGCGAGAGCGTGGACACAGGCGACGGCGTGGTTGGTGATGCGAACGTCGGTGCTGGCGAGACGGGTAAGAGAAGGTGTAGGATGGTATGCGATGGATCAATTTCCGGAGAGTAAGTCGACACTGGACAATTGGCGGGCTTGGGTAGGTGGGATGCCAAACTGCGCTAAGCGAGCCGATTGACAGTAGGGGTGGGTGGGAAAGAGAGGCCCCGGGTTTGCAAAAGGGCGATTGAAGAAGGGCGACGAGGAATTACTGTGCTGTAGTTCTACTCCATAGGACTTTTTTTTTGGGAACGAGTAACCAGGATAGATAATAATTCGAGTAATAGCAATAGTAGGGAGTGAAGATGATGGTGCAAGGTTTTTGGGGGGGCGGTTGGTGTGTCCCGGTAGGAGAAATCTTAGGGACAGCAATACAGGGTATGATTATGCGTAAGCGGGGGGATTAAGGGAAAGGAAAAAACGAAGCGTGTCTTGTCATTCTCTCTCTCCCCTGAAAGATCACCACCGCCTGAAGAGGGAATGGGCAAAGCAAGATGCAGCGTTGACAGACACTGCGAGAGACAGCCTGAGAAGGGCCAAAAACTTCGACCAGGGACCCTTTCTTTGAACCTCCACAATTTGGCTGCGGTAAATCTTAGTCTGGGCGCGTCAGGCCTATAACACAAGGGCTGGCGGGGACTGTCTTTACCGCATCTCGAACTAGCTGCAGTCAAGCTCCATCCCTCGTTAGCAAGGACCCGGGTTATTATGCAAACGGCGACCAGTGGCGAAGAAAGGACCATGCCACCGAGGTACCAATAAATCCAGTCAGTTCCATGCCACGGATTCAACGGATCAGAAATCTTTGCCTGTGAGAACCGCCGCCACAGTGGATGATGTTCTCTACAGTATGTGGGATGTACGAGTACAGAATACAGAGTCCGATACGTGTACTCCCTTAGCTACTATTATATGATAGTACACTCACTCGCCCAACCCGAGGCACTACCGTCCTCAAAAAAACACCGCCTATGGGTACTATAGGGAGTAGTAGGTCCAGGCCATCTGCTCGCTGTCCGCTGTTCATCACGCTTTGTATTATGTCCATGCACACGGAAGATTGGCTTGTATTATTTTGTGATTCCTCCACGCAGCCCTCCTGCGCCATTTCGTCATTGTTCGAGTATTACTCGTCCTTCACCGTCCCAAGGCGTTCTTCGTTAGTCTCCTCTATCTGTGAAGTCGAGGGTCACGAGTGATGGCACACTTCGCTTGCTTCGACAAGTCTAGGAATATCCCGTCTTGTGATCGTATACCTGCTTACCATGTAGCCATTCAACGCTGCTCACTCTTTTTCCTTGGTGTGCGTGGATGACTGACGCGTTTGGTGCTCTTGCTGGCCGAGCCAACCACCAGGTCGAACTCTTCTCATGGACACTGACGTCCTTGTCATACCTTGGCTGCAGTGTGGGAAACGAAGTTTCCGACGACGGTGTTCAACACCTGCAAAAAGAGTTCCAGGACCAGTATATGCCAACGTGGTGCCGGCCGTGCATAAGCTTTTGAACCACCTCAGGTTGTGGACTGAACCGGAAAAAACTTTCCACTCTTCTGTAGAACTAAATTTGTACTGTACTACTCGGTACAGTTTAACAATTTCGCAACTACTTGTACCCTCTCATACGGTCCGTGAGACTGTGGATCTCAAAGGCTTGTTCACCTCTAAAGTGGCTTATAGTAAAGGTAGAGTACTCTACTGTAGGCTTGCCAGCGTGATTGATTGTCTTTTGGTGTGCTTGTGTTCAACCTTCCATGTACGTCGAGTATTTACAAGTCTGAGGTTTTCAACCCACGCGGATGGCTTCTGCCAGTTTGATTGCTTCGCTCTTTTGGTATTTTTTGAGGAGCTGAGATTGGCGATAAACGTACTACTGTTATACCCCCTGTCAACCATGAAACTCACACCTTTTACCCCAGCCTGCCACTGATGCCGGATATGTTTCAGATCTGGGTTCAAGAGCACAAGATCATCATACAAGCGAGAAGACTTGGCTCTGATTTGCAAAATGATGCAATGTGGTGATGAGCTTCTGCTGCCATCACTATCGCATGATAGAGATTGCACGACTACTGAGTAAGGCCATCCTTAACACTGAAAATCGGCGGGCCTTGCTAGTGGTCTTCCGAAATACTTAACCGATGAATTTGGGGGGAACGGATTTGGAGGCAGTAGAACGAGCCAGGCGTTGAAAACACCTGTGTATGGTCACTCTGGATGTTCGGCCAAAATGTGCAATTCTTATTGAGATATGTATATTTCAACTCTTCATAATACATCATCGAAATCGTTCCATCGTGGGCTGGTATCACAGGGAAATGGGTACAAGGAATGACCTATATCTTCATTAGAGGCTGAGGCCTTCTAGGGCTTCCAAGAAACCGGCGATTGCTCCGGCTCCGAGCAAGCCTTTGGTAGCGCCTTCTTTTAAGTTTTGTTTGGTTGACTTTTCTCTGGAATGGCGCTTCTCACCATCCCCTCTGCCGTGTGATCGCGCTGTCGTGTTGTGTTGAGCCAGGCGGGAAGGGGACCGCGCTTGTTTACCATCTTGAGAAACAGGTCGTGGTGGCAAACCCATCCGGCTTGTTGGCTGTTGCAAGTATCTGGACTGTGGACTCGATGGTGGTAGGTAGGGTGAAGGTGGTTGCAGTTGAGATTGAGCTGGGTATTGGTGGTATGCATTATTCGAATGTGTAGAATAATTAGAATAGGGATTCAGCGCGTTGGCTGTATGGATGGGAGGGATGGGTGAGGATAGGCTGTGATGCCCCATATTCTGATCCGGCGCCGCCCAAGGACGATGTCCGGGAGGGTGGTATGCTGGGGAGGAGAGCCTGGATGCTGTTGATTGAGCGGACGTTATTGAGGGCGGTCTGTTTGTGTTGTTTGGGGGATTGGAAGCCATCCATGTGGGAGGTTGGGTGGTGGTATGAGCATGTGCAATGGGAGCGCCTTCTGCGTATGATATTTTGCGCTCTGGTGTGGGTCCTTCACCACTACTTCGCCGTCGCGATTTAGGCTGAGCAACCTCTGCCTCTGATGCTGACGACTCGGAGCTGGAGTCAATGACATGATGCCGAGCAACTTTTCTTTTAGAGCTGGTGCTCCCAGGGGAATCCTCAACATCGCTGCTAGCAGCACTCACGCTGGGCTGATAATTCTCATAGCGTTTTCTCCTTCGGTAGGCCTCATGTCGTGCTGCCGAAGAGTTGGGTTTTCTCCAATCGGTGGTAGTACCCTCGAGATAGTATCCTCGTGATATGTCATCCCGTTCCCGGTAGCGCTCATGATAAGGTAGATCTTCATCTTCCTCATTAAGATTTTGGACCGAAGGGACATAACGTCCGCCAGAATCACGATTGTGCCGCCTTTCCCTGACCTCGCGCCAGTTTGTCCATCGTTCGAGAAGCGGATCAATAGCTTGATCCGAGACTTGAATCATCTCTTTCGGTGAGCCCTTGATTTTATGAAGGGTTTGATCCAATTCACCTAGAGAGAAAACCGGCAGTTTGATCAGCGTAGTCGAGGGTGCATATTCCGGGGGAGGTGGCTCGTATGTGGATAATGACTCGTTTGTTGACACCAACTTCAATTCATCATCCTTGGCCGCCTCATTGTCAATGCTGGCTCGACGATCATCTTCCTCCTCTCTCCTGGACGCCTCGAAGACGCGATCCATCTTGCTCATCTGCCAGTAACGAACAATGACAGCGTTCTGCGCCTCCAAGCGTTCTTGCTTGATAGCTTCTGTCTTCAGCGCGACTTCTTCAGGAGGATCTCTATACAACACGATTGTATGTTAGAATAGCGACATTTATTAGTCACTGGTGCTACGCACCTGCGGGATGTGGATGCCATGAGTTGTCCCAGCTGGATAACCTGCAGCATGACTGCCAGGCTCAACTTCAAGCTCTCCAGCTGGGCCATCAAATATGTCACTCTGTTCTTCTTGAAACACCATCTGAATCTCTGCTGAATACTCGGGGTGGCACTTCCATCGCTAGACTTGGTGCCCAAGCGATCAAGCATATCGTTTATTTCATCAAACACGCGAGTGCTCTCGTCCGCTATTGACATTGCAGTCTCGATGGCTTCTGTGGAGTGGACCGAATCCGCCGTCTGAAGGACAGTGCCGGTCTGTTTGAGCATCGTAGAAAACAGAGTGACGCCTTTGGATATACCGTGGACTTCGAAACCAGCATTGACAATTTCACAGCTGATGGCATTGAGAATGAGGGACAGCCTAAAACCAGCTCCTGCGACCCCGAGAACTGAGGCGATGGCTGCTGCGACCAAACCATTAGAAAGTGACTCGAGGTCGTGGTGGTTGCGTGAATGACGTACCAGTGTTGGCCATGTTGGCCATCTCAGACTTGAGGCGCAGAAACGTCGATGGGATAATACAACAGCCAAGAGGAAGCACACAAGAAATAGAAGAAAGTCATCAGGCCTCGAACGACAATGTCCTCCGAGTGGCGCGACACAATTCGACGTGAACTTGCAAAGTGTGCAGAAGACATACGCCACAAGGCTGGTTCAGGCGCAGCGGGGAAGCGGCGCAGCGCAGTTGTTGGGGATTTCTCTACATCAGGGATGGCCATGAACAAAAATCCCGGCCACTCACCCAAAAATCCGTATTGGTGTCACCACTCACAGCTTACCTGTGTAGGGAACAAGATGTCACTGGTGGAAGGCCAGCGTGTAGACAGATGGGAGCTGGCGACCACACAGTCATCTCGGCAGGTATGGTAATGCAGCGGACTTTTTCCAGGGCCAAAATCATGTCAGCAGTGAGCCTTTCGGCGATGATTATATTCGCTGCATCACAATCGTGGCTCGAGTGGGAAAATGATGAGGAAGCTTTGATTAGGAGGAACGTTCCATGGAGGGTATTTCTACAGTTGGTGCTGCTTTCACCGCCAAATCCTGCTGTGATAACGGCGTATCATTTTACCCACAAAACTGGGCTATGGGGTGTTCGTGCATTGCACGATGCCACACCAGCTGTGGTTCTCTGCTTGGCCTTACATCGGAGCATTCGCCTTTCAGGTCTCACCAGTTGGCAGATTGAGGTGTAGTAGATAGTCGACGATGATACGGAGGTACTCTGTAGAATATATGTCGTTCTCGACAAGAATACACCTCATCCCATATCGTTAGTGTGAATGGAGTCCGGAGGATAGAAGATCCTTTGAGACCAGTGCGGCAGATTGACCACAGTGCTAGTGATAGCTTCTGTTTTTCTCCCACTGCCAACTGTACATTTTGGGATGGTGTGCATCTCTGGTCAGTCTCAAAATGGCACAAACTGGTACTGGAAGCGCCGGTTGTACGTCAAACCCGCGTGTCCAGGGCTATAAGGCTCCTGTTCCTGGTTGGACGTGCCCCCCGAGTCAGTATTAGCATTGCATCACATGGCATGCATCTCTCCTCAAATGTACCATTCAGCATATAGGTATACAAGAATCGCCTGAGACGCTACTCGTACCCAAAGTGAGAGCAAGGGCAAGCAGATACCACGGACCGCCCAAAGTCCGCAGAAACAGATGCTCGGAAGGCTACTGGAGCGAGTTTTGGTGGAGCTCGCTTATTCGTAGAGGCCAATCTGAAAAGGGATGGGCAATTCATCCTCCACGCATGGGGCCTTTCAGAAGGCGATGGTCTGGTGGTGCCAGTGGTAGTGGCGCATCCAATCGACGATTCTGCTGGACAATGGTGCGCTCCACCCAATCAGCCTAACAACATGGCCAATATCTTGGGTGTTTGTATCAACAAACCCAGTACGGCAACCACCGTAATATGGAGTGTGCCTGGGTGGGAGATACTTTCTCGCCCCTTGTGCTACAAGACTTGTCGGCGGGGACCTTTGTTGGACGTTGAAAGTTTGCCGGAACGACCAGCGAGTAGCGAGTGTCTTTTAGTGTTGCGAACACCTCGTGGCTTTCTTTAGACGGCGGGCGTTGGTATGTCGGAGATGTGATGGAACACTAGCCTAGCTTAATTCCCCCTTTGCAAGGCATCTAGACCACTCAAATGTGCCTGGAAAAACTGCGTCCGGATTACCAAGGAGGTTAAGTCCCTTTAGAGCGCCGGAGCCAAGTGCCTATGTACACCTATTGTACGAGTACGAGTGCTTGGGCGACTTGTCCTCCGTACCTCATATTCCCCGGTTAAAAAGATTGCCATGTTGGCCGGCGTCTGAACCCACTCCTTGCTGTGCTCGTAGGGCTTGTCAACTCTTCGACCCCAGCGATCATCACTGTTGTTACTCTTCTCTGCTCGCCTTTAATCGCCCTCCGCAGTACTTCCTCCGATCTCAGATACCATCTGGTCCTCGATATTAGATTTCCTCTACGACTACCTCGGTTGATTGGTGGTCTCTTCGATTTCACTCCTACTTCAGATACAACTCGCTCATGCGCAAGTCGGCATAAGAGCCTCGACTTCGAAAAGAACTCGGCTATTGCTCCTCCCAATCCTTCATCAAATCCTCCTTCACGACACCGAGACCGACCACCTGTCCTCGAACGTGTCGAACTACCAGGCTCTGTCGCTCTGTCGCAGCGAGTTTCCGACGCCCATCAGTATGCACAGGTGACAAAGCCGACGGCGAAAGAGAATGGACGCGGTTGGATATTGATTTTGAGATGCAAAGGGCTTCCTGGTCCAGCCAGCCGCCGTTATGCGGATATCCATACGCGAGCAACTTGCGTTGCTTGTTCTCCTCTGCTCTCTAACCTCTCTTATGGTCCTTGCACTTGCAGTCTGGTTCCAGAACTACAACTTCATCAAGGGCATCCGACTATCTGGCTTATCGTTAACTGCTTCCCTCAAAGCAGCTCAAATTTCGAGCTCCCTCCTTCTTTACGAGTCGCAGGTGAATTCGGTCTCAACGAGGATTTTGATCCAGAGCGCTTTCGGGAGATACTACGCAGGCAACACCAGCGATGAGAACTGGGTCCGCTCTCAAAGCGACTTGCAAGGTGCCCTGGCGGACGGTTCACTCATGGTACAGGCAGCATTGTTTCCTAACGTCGGTGAAGGTGATTCCAATACCGCCAGCGGGCTTACAAATGTTACAGCTGCTGGGCTTCCGCCTGTCCAGCTACCATACAAATACCCCAATGGCTCCGACGTCTATTTGGGCGATCCAGATCAAGGATATCCGCCTACTTTATATCCTAATCTGACCTACGGCGCTAAAGTATCAGGGGAAAATTACTCGACCGTGTCGTATGATGGTCGAACTATCACTCCAGGCTCACCTTTGTTCATTGGTCCGATGGCTGTCAACGAGTCCTATTCGCTCTTGTCTGTGACGGTCGCCATTATCAATAACACGTCTCGGTCTGACGTGTTGGGATGGTTGACTGTGCTGGTCAATTGCGAAATGCTCTATAATGTCCAAAATTCGCCCGAGGGGCTGGGTTCCACGGGCGAGATGCTTCTTGTAGGTCCAGATACCACATATAACCACTTCGACATCAAGATTCGTGGTTCTTCGGCGGAACAAGCAAGTAAAGAGTCGGTACGGTTTGTGCTCCCTCCTCACAGCAATTCTACACTCCAGCATCGACATCAAGCTAGAGCAAGTGTAGCAAACGCTACCATACCGTTCAAGATGTCATCATACCCAGCAGTTGTAGCAGCATGGGCGAAGAAAAACAATGCGATCAATAATGCCGGAGCATATATCTCCACACACAACGAGGACAATGCCAAAGTCTCTGTCGGATATGCCACCATCTCGAACATATTGGTAGACTGGGTTCTCCTAGTGGAAGAGTCACATGGAGAAGTCGTTGCACCGATCAATCACTTACGCGATGTTGTCATTGCCTGTGTGTTCAGTGTTACTGGATTCTTGATCTTCGTCATGTTTCCGGTTGCACACTACTCCATCACCCCAATTCGGCAGCTCTACGCTGCGACGGCAAAAACTGTGGAACCTTACCAGCCAGACGATGCGAGCGCCTATTCTAGTTCCACAGGTGCTCCGAATGCCGAGACTGAAGACGCTCAGGAGTCTCCAGACGAAAATCTGGCGAGGAAAGAAGGCTTTTTTGGTGCCTTTTTGAAGAGCTCAAAATCTCGGCAGGCTTCACGATCTTCCACTCCTCGAACGCGTCGTAGGACTTTCAGAATACCGCGGAAGGTGCCCGAACGCCGGCATTGTGTGACAGATGAGCTGACTGACCTGACGCGGACTTTCAATGAAATGTCGGACGAGCTGGTTATGCATTATGAGCGCCTGGAGGAAAGGGTAAAACAGCGTACTGCAGAGCTCGAGAAGAGCAAGAAGGCCGCGGAGGCAGCAAATCAGAGCAAAACTTTGTTCATCGCGAACATTTCGCATGAATTGAAGACTCCATTGAATGGCATCCTCGGACTGACCACCGTCTGTATGAATGAAGACGACCTAGGAAGAATACGGTCGACCCTTAACACAATCTACAAGTCTGGTGACCTGCTCCTTCACCTCCTTACCGACCTGTTAACATTCAGCAAGAATGAAGTCGGACAACAACTGTCTATTGATGAAGCCGAATTCAGAATTAGCGACTTGAGTGCTCAACTACTTCCAACCTTCGAAAAGCAGGCTCGTGAAGCTCAGGTTGACCTCAAAGTGCTCTTCCTCGGTACGAGCGATGCATTCGGCGATGCATCTGACTTTTCTGGCGACAAATTGTATGGGCCTGGTGGCACAGGCCGGGTTCGAGACATGTGTCTCTGGGGCGACAAAAACCGAATCTTGCAAGTTCTGATGAACTTCGTCAGTAACAGTCTCAAATTTACACCCCCACATGGTTCGGTGACCGTTCGGGTACGCTGCACCGGCTTGGTTGAGCACGAGCTCAGCAGGGCAGGCAGTGCTAGAAAATCATCTCTCAATTCGCGAAAGTCGAAGACTTCCAGTACTAAGAGGGTCCGAATGTCAGACAGCTCACTTGCTCCTCAAGACAGCGTGGACCAAGAGAAAGGCTACACCAACACTCACAACAGCTCAAATGAAGACTCGAAACTCAGCATCAACGTAGCAGGCGGTACGACACACATTCACAAAGTCGCTGAACGGCAAAGGTCTATGTCGCCGCCCCCTATCAATACCAAAGATCTCAGTTTCGAATTTGAGGTCGAAGACACTGGCCCAGGAATTCCGCCTGAGCAACAGAAGAAGATCTTCGAACCCTTCGTTCAGGGTGATTTAGGGTTGAGCAAGAAATACGGAGGTACTGGGCTCGGGTTGAGTATCTGCGCTCAGTTAGCGGCACTTATGGGCGGTGATATTTCTCTAGACAGCACCGTCGGCGTCGGAAGCAAGTTTACTATGCGTATCCCCCTAAGGTACGTGTCGGAGCGGTCCCCTTCAATGGCCTCCTCCACACACCGATCCCACTCAAAAGCAAGCAGTCTTGTTGGCCAGCCATTACACGACACTGGCGACACTACTCACAATCATAATGGCTCTACAACGTCTCTCGGGTCGACACGAAATGATTCACTCGCCGATGTGCCTAGGATCGTCGGCTTCACGCAGCCATACGTGGCGAAGGAGAGCAAGAAGAGCGAATCTCAAGAGGCCAAGATCAACGAGATGAAAAAGGTCGAGAATGAAGCAGTTGAAAAGGGCCGGAAAGTTCGAGTGCTTGTCGCCGAAGACAACAAAGTCAATCAAGAAGTGGTCCTCCGCATGCTCCGCCTGGAGGACGTTTACGGTGAGTCTTGTGCTGATGTGTATGAACACACGTTCCTCTAACGCTATCAGATGTAACCATTGCAAAGGATGGGCAAGAAGCTTTCGACAAGGTCCGAGAATCGATGCACAGTGGAGCACGATTTGATCTGGTCTTTATGGATGTCCAGATGCCGAACCTCGACGGCATACAATCGACGAAACTGATTCGAGAAATGGGATTCTCAGCCCCAATTGTGGCATTGACGGCATTTGCCGAAAAGTCCAATGAAGATGAGTGCATGGCGTCTGGGATGGACTATTTCCTCGCCAAGCCCATACGACGACCGGCGTTGAAACAGGTGTTGAAGAAGTACTGCGCGACCATACCGGAGGAGGAGAATGAAGGAAGCACACCGCTGGTGCCTCGATTAAACACGTCGACGGCAGTGAACGGTCATCCGGTGGCACCATCCAAGGTCAACGATCCAGACGTGCCGGCGATTGATTCTGACAATGTGTCTCCTTTGTCATGATTTTCTTTGTGGTCGAGTCAAACTGACTTGCTCGTTTCTACATGCATGAGGACGACCGATGGACATTACGAAAAGAAGGGCATATATTATCAGGGGGTTTGATTGATTAGGGTGATTAGGCGCATCAATTGGGCGGAAAACTTTTGGATTTACTGAAAAAATGGCTACGCATACGAAAAGGGAGCAGCGACGGCGCACGAAGTGTGACTTGTGTGGAAAAATGGCCTGGAATGGCTGGCTGGCTGGCTGGTTTGACGCATCATGCTATGTTTTTTTGAATAACTGGGTACCAAACAGGAGGGCCCTGGCGAGAGATGTATTGTGTGAAATAAAAATCATAAGATCTGGATTGGAACGAATTGGATCTTAGGGGAACTGTCGCATCCATTTTACAGCTATTACGGATACTACGAGTATAATGAGAGAGACTCAGAACTCTAAAAAAACCATCCTGCCGACGATGTCCAAAAAACCCATTCCTGAGGCCCAGGGATATAATTTAATGGCTGGCGTTTGAAAATATCGGGAGGGCTCCGATTGTCGCGCGCGTGGCATGTGCCAAAGACGCGAGCTCGATCGATCGACAGAGCGCGGCAAGAAGATCAGCAGCATCTGGGGAAGAAAAAACAATCTTTGTGGATGGTGACATCATGATTGTATCTTTTTGTATATACCTAGGTAGGTACTCCGTATGCACCAGTTGATGATATTACTACGAACCGAAACATGCGTCCGTTCAATTATTGCGACCTACCTACACTTCCCCTCTCCTCAATATTCGGTTCATGTTGAAGCTCGTTCGACTGCCGCTTCTCCTACATACCCCTACCTCTAGAGCATCTCTGACAGGATTGTGGACAATGGCGCCTCCCTTCAAGCGCAGGGCCGCTGAATCAACAACGATAGCCGGGCCAACGGTGGCTGCTGCGCCACGTCCGCAAAAGAAGCGACGCACATCTCATCAATACAAGGACTCGACCAAAGAGATCAAGTACGGCATTGTCCTTCGCAAATACTACCCTCCGGAGATGACCAACGACCGAGCCCGTGATTATAACTCGGGAAAGATTGAAAGACCAATTGAGGCCCTGAAAGAGGCCATACGGGAGACAAAACCAGAACGAGACGAGATACCCGTGAACGAGAGCGTGGTGCACTGGTTCAAGTGCGACACCCGCACGTTGGACAACAAGGCACTTCATCTCGCGAGTGAAAAGGCAAAAGAAAATCGAGTTCCGCTCATCTGTGTCTACCTGGTCTCGCCGCAGGACTTTGAAGCACACCTCACGGCACCGGTGCGTGTTGATTTCATCCTCCGCAATCTCCAGACACTAAAAGATGATCTGGCAGAGCTCGGCATCCCCTTGTACGTCGAGACCGTGAACAAGAGACGGGGGTTGCCGTCTAGATTGATGGAGCTTTGTGATAGTTGGGGCGCTCGGCACGTCTTTTGCAACATGGAATACGAAGTGGATGAACTGAGACGGGAGGCGGCAATGGTGAGATCGTGCCTGGACCGGGGCATCTCGTTCAATGTGGTGCACGATACGTGTGTGGTCGAACCCGGCAAAATATCGACAGGAGCTGGTGGGCAGATGTCGGTCTACAGTCCGTGGCATCGCAAGTGGTGTGCATATTTGAACCAGCACCCAAAAGAACTGGAATGTCACGCACCGCCCACCCGGAATCCCAGCAACACGAAAACCAAGTATGCCGATCTGTTCACCTCCCAAATACCACAAGCACCCGCATCGAAAAACCTGTCTCAAGAGGAGAAGGATCGATATCGAGCGTTATGGCCGGCAGGGGAGCGAGAGGCCCTCGAGAGGCTAAATCGCTTCCTGCAGGAGAGAGTACGATCTTATCACGAGACGCGGAATACTCCTTCGGCCAACGCCACCTCTATCCTGAGTCCTCACCTAGCAGCTGGAACAATATCAGCACGTACGGTCGTGCGGGAAGCGCGAGACGCTGCACCGAATAAGAAGTTGACCGACGATAGAAAACAAGGCCACTCGATGTGGATCGGGGAGGTGGCTTGGAGGGATTTCTACAAACATGTTCTTTGCCATTGGCCTTATGTTTGGTGAGTTGTTTGCCAGAGATCTGGACAACTGGAGGAAAATCGTTCTGATGAGTTTATTTGCAGCATGAACAAACCTTTCAAACCCGAGTACAGCAATATCGAGTGGGAGTACGATCTTGATCAATTCGAGAGATGGACACAGGGGAAGACTGGTTTCCCCATCGTAGATGCCGCCATGAGACAGGTGCAGCACATGGCGTACATGCACAACCGATGTCGAATGATCGTGGCGTCGTTCCTCGCCAAAGACTTACTGATAGACTGGCGGATGGGTGAAAAGTGGTTCATGGAGCACCTGCTCGACGGGGATTTTGCGTCGAACAACGGAGGATGGGGATTCAGCGCCAGTTGTGGTGTCGACCCGCAGCCGTACTTCCGCATCTTCAACCCCCTCCTTCAGAGCGAGAAATTTGACCCTCAGGGGGACTACATCCGCAGATGGGTGCCCGAACTCGCCGACATCAAAGACAGCAAGGGAATCCACGATCCGTACAACCGTGGGTATGAAAAGGTCGCAAAGGAGAATGGGTACCCAAGGCCAATGGTTGACCACAAGACGTGTCGAGAGAGGGCGTTGGCCAGGTATAAACAAGGGATAGGGAGGGACACCGCGTGACCATTTGATTCTCGCCGCACGTCTTTGCTGCGGGCCACTCAATTTATTGGATCCATCCAAGTGATGAGTAGGACGTTGCAAGGGAGTGTGTGCACCTGTCACCACCGCGAGTCTGTTGTCTCTCGGCGATGGATTGATCCTTGTGTCCACTCGATCAAAAGCGTCAATAATACGGAGTGTTTAAACCAGTGAATCATGTCCGACCTTTCGGTGGAGATTGCGCCTCGTGGACAGTAAGTCAAAAGTCTAGACCAGGTGATCACCAAGGGGAATTGCGTGCGCGGGTGTTGTGGCAGTGCGAAGGGGGACCAGGTAGGTGTGTCTTGTTGTTCTGGTCTCCAGGAGTATTTGCGGCACACGCGCCCCCCTCATTTTGCAGGATCCAAGCGAGAAGCCAAGAGGCACTTTAAGTCAGCCAAGCTTTGCGGCTCCAAAGCTTGTCGTTTGTTAGGGAATTACGAGTTAGTTTAAGCTGCCAATCCCGATTCCGGAGGCCGAAGGAGAAAGTCTTGCGAGAAACAGAAAAGGGCCCTTTCCCCAAGGATTACTATCATTCCTGAAGCAAGCCAACGCGACCCAAGAACCAAACTTGTCAGGGGGAAGGGGGAATGTAGATCAATGACTTGGTAACTGTTTCTGGAGACCCAGGAATGGACTCGTTTCCCATTCCATAAAGTTCGTGTGGTTGTGTGTGTTAGGAGTACTGAGTACCTCGTCCTCCCTCGATCCAAACGAAATATCGTATACGTACCTCTGGTATGGGCCCCCGTCCACCCCTTTCGAATTAAATGGCATGCGCCCGTCAAAGAAGAAAAAAGTCCAACCAAAGCCGTAGCCCGGTTACAAAGTACCCACCGACACGGAACAGTAGGGGTGGACGACATTGGAATTGTACGCGTATGCCCATGTTTTTCTTTTTGAGAGCGAGGGTTAGGAAAGATGTGTATGGGAGAATACTCACCAGCAGTTACTCACTCCATCGAGAGTAGTAGCCAGCAAAACTGGGCGCGAGTACATATTATGATTAATTACCTTAATATCTTTCAAAGAGACGATTAACATCAATAATTCCTTGTACTTCTCTCCAACTGCAAACCAAACTCGGCTTTTCCGGATACTTGGGCCTTTCCTTATCTTTTTGGGGGGGGAGACGCCACACGACGCAACTTATTCTGGGTCCGTTCTTTTGGCGTCATTATTCGGGGGCTACATACGGAGTCTACTACATTATTGGCGCTGCGCTCAGCTGCACTGCCTTTATCCCTCTGTCTGCACTGCACTGCACTGAACTACACATTCTATCTTCCTTTTGAGGCTGCGTGTTTGTGTATCTGTCGTGCCTACAACTGGCACTGCCGTACATAACTTCTTGTCCTTTTTTTTGCCTTTGTTCTTTGTATATACCCTTGGAACTCTTGTTTGCTTGCGAGATTCACCAAACGCACTCCCCGAGTTTCTAATTTTGGTGTTTGATTCGGTCCACTCAACGCTCACACGACCAAACCACACCTTCGATAGTTACCCACTGAGGTACACATTTCCTCCCTCTCTCACTCCTTGCTGGACAAGGACCGACTCCGAATCCGAATCCGGCAAGCAAGTCGACATATTTTTGGGTGCAACTTTGTTCTGCCGTACAAATGCACTCCCCTTGACGAAACAGAGAACCATGATCGTTCGAAGCACCGTCAGACAATGCCTGACGACGGTCCTCCTCCTCCTCCTTTTTCTACCCTCCTTCGTCCTCTGCGACGCCGACTTCATCGATGTACGAACGAACCTGGACCGGGACCGGAGTGGGAAGAGAGGTGACCCAAAGGACAAGTACTTCCACGAGTCGACCTTCCACCCTCACTACGACGGCCGTTTCGCGGCGAAAGAGATTGGCAAGGAAGAGCGGCTGCCGCACCTGACGGCACTCATGCAGACCTTCTTGGCCACCATGGCCGACATTGGCGCCGAAACTTGGATCATGCACGGCACGCTGCTGGGTTGGTGGTGGAACCAAAAGATCCTACCCTGGGACTCGGACATCGACGTCCAGGTGTCGGAGCACACGATCGCATTCCTGGCCCGGTACTACAACATGACCGAGTACCACTTCCGACTGCCGGGGGTCGAGAACGGCAGGAACTACCTGTTGGAGGTCAACCCGCACTTCACCATTCGAGGGGTCGAAGACAGCCTGAACGTTATCGACGCACGTTGGATCGACACCGAGACCGGTTTGTTCATCGACATCTCGACCGTGAGGGCCAACTACACGGCGAGGGCGGAAGGCGTGGAGGGTGCCTTGATGTGCAAGGACAGACATCATTATCTGGTACGTGTTGTGGTGACGGAAACAGTGAAACTTTGCTTTCCTTTCGTGCGCGCACCCCGAGAACTGACCGTGTTTCATCTTTCAGGAGCGAGACATATTTCCACTTCGCGACAGCTTCTTCGAGGGCATTCACGTCAAGATACCCTTCGAGTATGCTTATCTCTTGGAGGAGGAATACGGCGAGAAATCTCTGACATTGACCGTGTATGAACAGTAAGTACCACATTCCTCCCCCAACGGTCATCCAATCTGTGTTGGGATGATTTTGGCCTCGGGCCATTGTTTGGTTTCCTGACATTCTGTGGAATGTCGAGGACGAGACCCAAACACAAGAACACCGGATCATCCCCTTTCCCCTCCCCTTTTTCCAAACGGCCAAACAGCCTACTGCAGACACCACCACAAACTAACACATTCATTCCATTCTGTTAGTCACCAATTCAACCATACGAGCAAGTTGTGGGAGCCTCTTCCCCCCAGCAACCGGAGGCCCTCGAGGAAACGACCGCCCATGAGAAGACCACCATTGCCAAAGAAGCCATTGAACGACATCATATGAGCCCATCGAAACCCACCCTGTGTATTCAGAGTTCGTTTGCATAGCGAAACGGCGTCGGATCTTTTTTCTCCTTCTGGGTGTCTCAATTTCGGCGTACGAGCGTTCAAAACCATTGTATTTAAACAGGCTCCTTTCTTCTCCTGATCTTCCCTTTGTAGAAAGGCAAAAAAGAGATGGAGGAAGGAAAAGATAAAAACAAGAAATAAACATAAAATAAAGACGAGAACACCTACTCCGTAAGCGGTCCTGCATGTTTGAACCACATCAGGATCCACGTGTATACACTCTGTGGGTATATACAAGTCGTATCTATCGTCTCTGTTTGAGTTTTTTTCTTCTTTTGCTAGGTCCCCGTACATAGCAGAGCACGACGGATCACTTTTGGCTGCCGGAGCAGAGGGTGGAATTGAATGACGGCTCGTCGCTCTACGACGTCGTCCTTGCTTGCTACTTGGTACTCCCTCTAACGCTGGGCCGGGCAGTTACAAGGAAGGGCTGGAGAACTCCCGCGGGAATTTCGCTGTAGGTTGCCATGCCACCAGAGTTCCTCCTTTGTCTGTCGACAACCCCTTTTTTCCTATACATTGTGACTCGATAATATCGATGCATGGGGTGAACTTTGACTGAAAAAATGTCAAGGAACAGGCAACTTGAAAAAGGAAAGGACGCACATGACGACCGTGACAAAAACGAGCACCGTTTTCGAGGCAGGCAGCAAAGGCACATTGGGTCTGAATGGCAAAATAGGAACGCAGGCTGGGTTTATAGTCTACCGATGAAGGAAACCGTTTCTTTTTGTCATCCGAGTGGACGCCCCTACTGTCGACCAAAATTCGGCTTGCGTCGAGTTGAACCTGCATCATCATCATCATCGTGCCCTGCGCTGGCTCTGGACCGGGCCCGTGGACGTGGACGTGGACGCTTCTGACGGACGTGTGGCTCGCTCCGCCCACGGGTCGCCTGGGTTCGGTTCGAATGCACGGCGAGGGAGGTCTCGTCGTTTCGACTGGAGGTCCACCGTCTCGCTCTCGCCGCGGGCTTGCCACGTCTGGAGGATCTCGACTTGAACCTGGGGACGTCCTCGAACCAGTCGCGGATCGCAAAAGATTCCAGGTCCGTCCGGAGCGGGACGCCGGTGCTCTCGACGACCTCTTTTATGGCTTCGACGTAGGCGGCTTGCTCCTCGGGCGACGACCTGAGTTGGTGCAGCAGGTAGGCATTGACCAGCGTGTCGGGTCTGACGGAGCCGCCACCACCACCACCACCGTCGGTCACGGAATCCAGGATTTGGCGGAACCTGTGTCGTCGGTCGCCGGGTACGAGACGGTTCTCGTTCTCAGGGTCTTGGTTCGATTCTTCCACCCCTTGGCCCTCGGGAGATCCGTCATCCGCCGCGGGCGTTTCTTCTTGCCCTTCGACGGAGGAGCGTAGCTGATCTTCAGGGATGTCCTCTGGTCGGTCGGGCAACTTTTCCCAGAGGGTCAGCAGCTCCTCTTCGGCTTCCTCCAGTTGCCGCATGAGATCTCGCTTCCTCGTTTCGAGACTTTTCAGCATCGTCGAGTCGTCCGTCTCCGGCACACCCTCGTCACCGGCCGGGAATTCTCCCTCTTCCAATTCCATCAAATTCTCGAGGAGCAAGTCAATGTCACCCTTCTTGGACAGAAACAGTCGGGCTTCCACGGTTTGATCGTGGCGTATGTCATTCTGAGAGACCTCGGAGCCTCCTTCGGTGTCGGCACGCACCGACAGTACGGTGACGTCCTGCTGCCGTAGAAAGTCCAAAGAGGACTCTGCCAAAGGCCCAAAAATCCTTGAGCCTCGGTATGTGATCTGGTAGCCTTGTTGGATCAAGAAATCGTCCTTCTCCTCGAGCTTCCTCTCGGTCGTTTGCAGGTCCAACAGCGCCTGTCGAAGGTCAGTTGTCAACGAAAGTTCCGGGGACGACATGAGTGTGTCCAGTTGATGGACGACGCTTTTCCGCTTTTCAAGTGCACCCCTCCGAACGTCGCCTGTGGTGATCAAGGCGGCAGTGTATGAGTCAACGGTACCGCTCAGCTGCCTCCAAGCGGCATCCAATGACCCGGGAGTAGGTTTCTCGGTGACGTCCTGATGTGTTTCTTGATCCGTCAGAGCCAGAGCCGAATCTGCCATGTTGCCGTCTCTGGTGGTGCTCTGGGGCTTCGCAGAGGAAGCACTTGTCGCCGGATACACTGCTTCGATTGCCGATCCTCGCTCTTCCACGGCCTTCTGTTCCGGAGGCGACCCTTCTGACGCTGGGTCTAATCCTATTCCCGTGTGGGAGTCGGTTGCGTCCATGTCTACGGAACTGGTCGCGTGGGTATCTTGCTCCTGCGGCATTGCCCGGACCTCGTCCTCATCCTCATACCCATCTCCGTCCTTTGTAGGTTTCGAGACATCCTGTACGTCTCCCCCAAGCCCGGTCTCATTGGCCGGTTCAGCCTTTTCGCCTATGGAACTACGAGACGCATATTAGCCTTCTGAAAAGACGACAAAATAGGCTTCAATCATACCTGTCCTCTGGTGACACACCAGGATTGTTGTTTCTGTTTCCGAATCGCCACATATGTCACGTAGCCTGGTCAAGGAGGGTGTGGAAAGGAACAGAGCCAGCTAGGGTGCCGTGGTAATCGAAGCAGCCTTAAGGGAGCGGCAGCCATAGGCGTTGGGACCTTTCGACGTAAGAGAGATAAATACTAGAAAGGACCAGCAATCTGCGCCAGGCATGCATGGGGGCACATTCTCGTCTCTAGTAACAGGAGAGTCTGAGCCAACAGGGCACGATGCCCTTAGTTACTCGATTTGGTCATCCTGACAGGTGTTGGATCATCAGGTGCAGCCTCACCTCTAGGTCTGTCACCCACCACCATCATGCACTGTCCGTAATTGCTTAGCGCCTGCGCCCGCCCGGAGCGCCGCCCGGGATTATCCCTGCAATCACCCTCTCCGGACCGCATCGGGGGGGCCTGGCGCTACCCGTTGGTGCCCCCTTTTACCCGTAATCTCGTGCACAGTAATTACCACCCGTTTTGCAATCGAGCTGGCGTCTTCCCGCCCTCCATTTCACAACACCCCTGCTCACCTACCTCAGCACATCTGTCGGTCTCTCTATCTTGATTTGTTTCCGGATCCCAGACTCGAGGGAGGCGCATCGGCGTTCCAGAGTCGTCTTGCAACGTGTCTCTCGTGGTGCAGACTCTTGCATCCCTAGCTCTCATACCGTGTCGTCGCCTCACTAGCCAGGCCTCGATTTGAATTGAAGCCTTCCAATTGACTCCTCGTGTGGCTTACAGTACTCCAGAGATGCAGAACAGGTCGGCACCAGACTATGAAGATGAGGTTAGTGAGCGTTTGAGCCGCATGCCATCAGATGGATCGCAAGCTCATAAGCTCCAATAACTATAAATCATGCCCTTGACAAACTCCCAGTCGTCTTTCGCTTCCATTTTCAGTGGCTAAGCCTGATATTCGCACATCTCACTGGAGCCCTGCCTCACCGAACTCAGTCGACCTCACAGGTTGTTTTGTGCATATTCCCAGCCGAACCTTCGGTATGACATTCCATACACGCCCTGACTGGTTCGGGCTTCAATAGAATTGGGGTCTGTACTAGGCTAATCTGAATAGACTCATACATCCATCGTTAAGTTCCAGTATGTCCTATCAGTACCGCCGGCAGCCCGGCCGTCTCGTGGCACCAGCAAGGCCCGAGTCCGACTCCAGCTCCTCCAATGATCAAGATGAGGACCCTTTGGAGAGCTCGCAAGCGGACGAAAATACAGACCATCTGTCCAATGAAAATAAAGCCGCAGCCAAAGGAAAGGGAAAGGCGTGCTCGGATGAAGACCTAGGTAGGCGCATCTGATGTCGGTCGAACAGCCCGCTAAGCCGGTGCCCCGTAGGAGCACCATCTCAAGGTCGAGCTGTCTCCGAGGCGGCTTTGCTTAGCTTCGGAGGTCTGAACTTGGACGAAGATGCTCGCAGAGCCATCGAGTCATGGGCAGAGGATCCAGGTCAGGAAGCTGAATTCCTTGCAGAGTATCAAGAATTGTTCGAGATGCAAGATTTCTCCTTTCTGCTTGCCGCAGTCCAATTCGACGCGCAAAGCAACCACCATCTGAGAGACGCGTGTGCCCGAATTTATCTCCTGGTGAGGAAGTACAAATTCCTGGAAAAGTGTGAGCAAGAGGCGTTCTTTGACAGACTTGCGTATGAGGATGAATTGGACCAGAAAAGCGGGACATTCACACAGCTACTCGATGAAATCAAACAAGCAGCCGGGGTGCGATATAACACGGTCCAGGTGCCCGATGACATGGCTTCAACATGGTCTGTGGAGTCATGGGTCATACCGCCAGCACTCAACCACTATCGTCGTCGAAGTGTTCACAACCCCTCCCTCCCTAGTGTTGAAGAAGGACGCCAGAGTCAATCAATTCCGACTTTCATGAAACCCCTTCACGAAGATTTCACACACAGGGATAGCCGCTTCTTCTGTACGGGCCGGGTCTTTAAAATGCTCTGGCATGAAAATGCAACCTCCGGTAATCGGTACTTGAGGAGCCAAGGGTCTACAGCTGATGGCATCCACGGCCAGCGAGTGTTCAGCCATATCAGACGGTTCGCTGTTGTAAGGGAATGTCATGGGTTTTCGTGGGCGGTGGGGATGAACACTTACCAGTCCCAAGGTGTGAAGAAACCTTCATTCAACAAGGCCGATATTCAGGCACATGCCATCATCCACATGACCGGCACGAAGGCTGTACGCTTGAACGGGGAGCCATACCTGGAGAAGAAGCCAATAATGGTCGACAAAGGCACCGAAGACAGCAAGCTTGACCCTGCGAGCCGCATCCGATTTGACAAGGTGTTTAGCATCGAGCACAATGTCAGAGTAAAGGATGTGGGAATCGTCAGCCCGCAATCGATGGCTTACTTCTGTCACTATTGGCAGCTACAGGCCACTGCAGCAGCCCAGGCTGCGGTCCGCAAAACCTCTGCACCGTGAGGAATGTGACTCGAAGACAACATATCTTCATCATACGTTTTGGTTGCGAGGGTCTCGTTAGACCTTCGTGACTGCAATTATTGTGGTCGCGGCTGCGGTGCGAAAATTGGAGCATGCAGACTGGCCTTCTATAGGCCGTGGCGGATTGAGGGCCTGATGGATCTAATCAAAGCAATATCGAATCGTTCTCGGTGGGTACGAGACAAGAAGAAGCAGCTCTCATTTCAATATTTCGGTCGCTGTGCGCTGGATGAGGTCGTCTCAGAGTTCTCCAACTTTTGCTTTGGGCATAGTTAGTGGTTGCCTTTTCACTGGGTAAACCATTAATCAAGTTCGCAATATCGATTCCGTTTGTTACTATTTATGTTTGAAATGTCGACTATCGCTTCGGTAATTCGGACGCCTTGAAACCCAACAATGTTCCGCAATCTCCGTAGCGTTGATGTGCAAATCCGCAATCGGTGAAGGGGATTTTTGGGCGGCAGCTTCGATCGACCTCAGCCTTGTTAGCCTCAGCCTCGTCTCGGCAATTTACTGTTTTATCTTGGACTACAGCGCTCTCAAAAGAAAAGATACCATCAACAACACGTAGCAGACCATTCCAAGTCGACAGTCCTGGATATGCACCCAATTTGCCGATCACCTGCTCATTGAGAAGTGTACATCTTCCGGCATTGAGCTGTGACTGGGCAAGCAAAACACAGTTGGTCGTCCGTTCAATCATCAAAATGGTTGGCATTAAAGGAAATAGCGGTGAGTGCCCGATGTGAGGCAACCAATTTTGTGGACATTTCTGAGCGACCGGCCAATACAAGGTCTGCCTGAACATGTGTTGTATCTTTGACAGCCATCCTCCTCCTCGATCGAACGTTGCCGCACCGCGTGCAATTACGTACGCTTCGAGAGTCATCCACTGGTGAGAATGAGGGACTGACTAAGGGAGCGGGTGATAAAACGTCCGCTGGATTCAACTACAACGCCAAGTGCCCCTTGTTGGCAGTTGTACATCCAGTGGCCTGTATACAACCTCGCACTTGACCGGTAAGGCGATCTTACCCGAAGAAGCAAACGACATGACTCGACGTGGCTGCAATTATGAATCAGCTGTTTCTTCGAGATGCCCTTTCAAGCAACAATTTATGCTCTCTTTTCTCTCTGCTCATGGAGTCCAGACCGGTTTTGACAAGCATCAACGAAGTGGTACCCTGACACTATGCAGCATGGGGTAGTGGGTGATGTCGGTGCACAACATGACTTGACTCGAGCTGTTCTCGAGGGCAAGAGCGTTTAACAGACACAAAACGGGCACCTGTCAGCCAGCAAACACGCTTCGTCCCTCGTCCTTGTCCTCCTCTAGAAGCCTCGTGCAGTCCGTTTGACGATTAGCATTAAAGGCGCGACGCGGCAAGAAGCAGGGCCCGACGTTTCACCATGCAAGGCAGCCGTTTTCCGGCATAACCGGTGACTGGGAAAACCGAAATAACCTTTCCCTCCTCAAAGATTTCCTCAAAAGTGTTGCTGCTGGCTGCAAAGCATCTTGATCTCGAACGAGCGCGTCGGGAGGTGCATTCGGTGCCGCGATTAAGCGATATGGAAAGGGCCTAGTCCGTACTATACTAGTATTGTATGTCTTTTGAGACTACCTCAGTACGGAACCAGGAAATAGAAGGAGGGCAAATATCGCTTACAAGGACCAATCTGGGTGACTAGGTAAATGCAAGGGACTTTTCCCATCGTCACAAGACCAGACGTACGATACACTTATGATCTAGAAGGAGTACAGCTAAACTGCTAAATTGGGCTTGTTCTAAATCCTCAAATCCTTGCCAACTTCACCCTTCGTGGTCTGACCACTGAAGATGAGTCGAAAATGACAGGGCAGAGTCGTTAGATACGAGTAGTAATGTCCAATCGTTCAAGTTTGCCATCAACGCGTCAAAGACACATCACAGTTACACCGGAAATGGAAGCGCCGAATTGCTTCTACTCTTCAGTCTCGTACCTTTGCGATATCACATCCTCTCTCGTCGAATCGTCATGAGAGGCCGGGTGAGTTTTCCGCAGGCGTTGTCGCGCGGGTACTCTCAGCCTCACCCCTGTACTAGCTGCCAGCAAGATCTCGATTTCGGCCGGTTTTCTCTTTTTGCTTGAAATGTCCAGTGATAATCACTACTGTACTCCGTAGAAACGCCCCCCTTTGTCCCTGGACCCCTGTACCGTGAAGGGAGGGTAGAGCTGAAGTTCGTCCACCTTGGCATTTGCGTAACCCTGGTCTGATGGTGATAAGTGGAGAGATGGATTGTTGGCGGTTTTTGTTTTCAGCTGACCAAATCCTGACTCAACTTGTTACAACTTATCAAACAACACCACCAACACCATTTCCGCAACGGCAAAAGCAAAAGAGAGGGGGAAAACAGCAGTCCACATACAATACAGCAAAAGGGGGGAATCGCCCCACCCCACGTTCAGCTGTGGCCCGTAGCCAGCGCAGTCCCGTCGGGAGTTTTTGGACCCATCGAAGGAAGCGTGTTCACAAGTCACGAGGACCAGTCTTTCTT